TACTTTGATAGATATATATATATATATATATATATATATATATATATATATATATATATATATATTCTTTTTATTTTGTTTTAATTGCTATTTTACACTCCAATCCAATCTCAATAACACATCTATTTTTGTATGTTTCCCCACTCTTTTTTACATAATCATTATTATTAGTATTTTGTTATTTTTTATTCCAGTTTAATTTTTTTTGCCACCCCACCCCATTTTCTGACAGTGATTTTCCAAAAGAATTCTTTATCCCCTTTTTTGCGCTATTCTTTTCCTTTTTCTTTTTCATTTTATTTTTATTGCCTCTTTCAGTCTGTTCCCACACTTTATCCTATCTTGCCAAATTTCTCAGCACTAACACATACTCACCCCGCCCCAGGTTCTATAACCCTTTTTCCTCTATGTTCATATCTCACTCCACTTCCACCCACCATCAATCCCAATTTTTAAATCTAAGGTTATTTTCACAAAGTTTTGCACAGCAAGAAACCAGACAGAAATTGGATTTTTACTAGTAATTCCATCTACAAACAGGATTCTTCCCAGCCTCAAGAACTACTGTTGGTGAGTCTACACTGTTTATTTCTTGCATCCACTGATAAAGGACATGGGTGTGTCTGAAAATTCTGAACTTTGAACCTTAATCTCCATGCTTCATTTCTGTTTGGTTAATAATTAATAAATATTTTTCATACAGATCACATCGGTACCCTTTTGTTTGGCTTTGTTTTATTAGCTAACTTATCATCTACTCTATTATATAACATGCACACACAAAAGAATTGCTGGAAGTCAATTCTAAATATCTGACCAAATATCAGATTTTTGGAACAGGTAAGGGACTTCTTAGTTAGGCCATATTCTTTTCAGCACCCATTTGTACTTGAAGACCCATCATAGATTTTTTTTCTTTTTTATAATGACTTTTCTTTATCCCTTTCTATTTTTTCTGATCTCTTTTTTCTTTTTTTCTTTATTCACCCTTTCAATTTTTCTCTTTTCTTATCCTATTCATAATTTCTATGTATTGTATGTAGTACACTCTTTTTTTATTAAAATTATTTTATTGCTCAACATGTTTCTATCATTTGATTCCTTTCATGCTTAAAATGTTGTTTTAATATGCCAACTAGCAATTTCTTTATCTGGTCTAGTTTTATTGCCTGACCAGTTGAGGATTTAAGAACTAATATAATATATGCCCTTTGAACCTCTCCATTCTTAATTTGACAGGTGCAGAAACATTGAATTTGTCTTGCTTTGAATAGCCTGCCACTCAAGCCTTCTTTGATTACAAATGAACATTTTTGTACCATGTGAGCTAGCTGTTACCATTTGTATAAGTTATTATTAATTATTTCAAATCACCAGTGTCTGATTTAGCAATCATCATTTTCACTTTGCTTCATCAAAACATCTATGTGTTATGTCCTGGAAATGAAAATGTACTTCAGATAAAGTATCAGAAATAGATTTGCTGCTCATCTTAACTTTTCTTTGTTACTTGAATTCTTTTGATCCTTTTATATCAAATATTGTAAATAATTTTGACACAATTTTAAGTTAGTTGCAGTTTGTTATATAAGAGTAGTGAAACCAAATCTGGTTCAATTATATTTAACCACCAACAGCCATTAAGCCTCTCCAAGAATCTATCCATGTTTTACAAATATGGACGCTATCCATCTCATAACATGATTATCATTAAAAATATGATTATTGTGATGTTGTTATTTCTAATAATTATTATCAGGATAATTATCATGATCTCATCAATGAATTGAAGCTTTGGAACATGGTACCAATGATAGTTGGAGCATTGGGATCAGTTATGAGAAATCTAGTGAAACTAGAAATCTAAGGTAGAATCAAGACCATCCAGAAAGTAGCACTACTAAAAATAGCTAGAATGCTGAGAAGGGAGCTGGTGTATTGAAAAAATTTGCTGTCACTTGACCTTCATTATAAAGCCATCAATTATGACTGGATGAATGTTCATTGATATTAAAAATTAAAATATTCTGGAGTTTTGAGATCCAGAAAAATCACTCTATCCAGGTGGCAAGATTGGATATGGTTGTGAACCAGAAAAAGAAGCAACCAGATGATTAATGTTGTCTTATGAACTAAATGAATTTTTTAAATTAATATCAAAACTTCATCCAGGAATTGAAGGATATGTTAAACATGAAAATCAATTCTGCTCATGATAAATGACATACTTAGAACAGAATATAAAGCACTTGAATCTTGATTTGAAGAATTGTAGGGTTGAGACTTTCCACACAGCAACAGTGTTGTAGTTGACAAGTGTGTATTGTCAGCTTTTATTATACATGTCAATGTTTTTGCAACAGAATTGATATTAACCAGTATTAATAGTATTTTCAGAATATTATATTTATATGAGCAATATATTGTCTTAAGTTCAGCTTAAACAATTTATCCATATTTTTAATAAGAAAAGATATTCTATTATTAAAAATATTGATAAATTGTTTTGCAAGATGCCAACAAATTAAGCAAAGGATAAATTTTTATTTATAAATAAGTTCAAATGCTATATGGCAGAGAAACATGTGTGATGAATACAATATCAAATATATTTTATCTTTGTATATATATATATATATATATATATATATATATATATATAATATATATATATATAATTAACAAATGGAACTTCAGAAAGCCATGGTAATATTTTATTTCTCAAAATTGAATTATCAATTTTGCAAAATAAAATATTACCATGGCTTTCAGAAGTCTCTGATTTGTTAATTATTACTTGGTTTGTTTATTACATTGATCTATATCCTCCCTGGAATTATCCATATGGATTACAAATTAACTTTATATATATATATATATTAAAAGAGAGAAAAACATAAACATTTTTGGTTGTAATGTGGATTTTTAACAAAAATATTATGCTTTATTTTCCATATATATATATATATATATATATATATATATATATATATATATATATATATTGCTCCTTAGTAGTGTTTCTGCTTTCTAATTTTTTCACACACAATAACCCCTTGTGTCTTAGTGGCTTTGCTGCCTTGCCTGGGGGAAATCCAATTTTTAAAAAAATACATTTTTATGTGAAATGTGGGGAAACAAAATTGAAAAGGTTTGAACTCAACACATGCCCTTTTGCAAAATACAATTTGTAAAAAATTGGGGCTTAACTTTACAAAAAGTCTTTGCATCAGAATATTGTTTCTATCATTCTTAGAGAGATCAATTTGCTATTTTAAATTGGAAAAAAACATGCAATAAGTGTGCATGTCAATTTACACCCTTTTTTAATCACATCAGCATTATATAATAATTATTACTTTACATCTTAACCTCATCTCTTTCATATTCTATAATAATTACTTTCTTAGCTATTGGTTTCATTTACTTTTCTACTTTTTCAACTTCACTATTATTTGCAGTAATTTTTATTGTTTTCCAGAGATCTTCTTTGTTTAATATTAGTTGCCATTCTCATATATATCTCCTTTAATGATGGACTACAAGATTTCTATTGGATTAATATTAGGAAAATCTGGAGGCCGTTCATTTAATTTGGTGTTTTTGAAACATTTTATTGGCAATGTCAGCAAAGTCAGCATTGTACAATGTGAAGGAGCATTGTCTTGCCAATACCACTCAAAAAACATTGTCCAAGAACTTACTATAATTCTCTGCACTTGAACTATCATCAACTTTGAAGAAACCTATATGTTTACTGCTAATAATACTAGCACAAAGCATTACCCCATCTTTCTTCTATTGTCTTCTAAATTATGTTGGGTGACAATTTTCTCTTTGAACCAAAACTCTCACCTAGCCATCAGATAGATCTAACTTAGCTCTACATTAGTAAATAAACATTATGGCTGAGAAATCAGTTTTCATGACCAAACCAAATTTATATATTTCTCTTTGTTTTCATGTCTTTAGTTAATTTTCTTCATATTCTGTATCTTTTTCTCTCTCTTTACATTTGCAATATTAGTTTTTTACAGATATATTTTTGATAGTCAATCCACTTTTATTTTTATCACCATTTTAATTCTTCTTGGATCTTTTTGTGCCAGTTTTTTCTCTTGTTCTTATGTTGCCAGAATTTTAGATTTTTTTTTTTCTTATACCAGTTCAATTTTTTCTACATTTTCTAACATTGTGTTTACATCACTATAAATTTCAAGGTTATATCTTTCCTACTGCTCATTGTGATTTTTATAGCTCCTATAAATAAATGACAATAATATGCTGTTATATATATTTATTTGCAATATGATTAACAAGCCTCAAAGTGCGTAATAAAATCTCACACCATCAAGAAATTTATTGTAAATATTTCTAATAAAAATAGATATAAGGTGAAATTAAATATAAGTATAGCCTGAAATAATTTTTTAATATTTAATAACAGTTAATAAAAATTTTACTAGACTTAACAGCCACATCATTAGTTCCTGTACAATCACCAAAGTTAAGTAATGTCAAGCCTGGTCAGCAGTACCTAGATGCATGATCACTTAGATGTGCAGGTGGTGTAATGGATAATGGCTTTGAAATCAGAGAGCTGTTCCAATTCCAGTTGGGTTTGTTATATTCACTTACATGAAAATACCTTTGGGAAAAGTATAAATCTACCTCTTCTCCCCCCAGCTATAGGTTAACTAGTAAATCATTATTATCTCAAAAAAATTCTTACAATCTAAAAATATTTTATAGCTTCAAATAATATGCAAAGGGTTGATAAACTATAGAAAGAAAATTAATCAATGAAAAACAATTTTACTGTGAAAAAAAATTATATTGCATAAAAATCAGACATAGTATACTGAGGAAGATGTTGAATATTTGAGGAGGCTTGCTGTCACTTAATCTCTTGTAACAACAACCTCATATCTATTGTGATTATGCAAATTAATGAATATTGATAGCAATAATATTTTCATACCATTTCTTTTATTTTACAGCAATCTTCTGAGTCAACAAAAATTACCAGGTGTTTATGTAGTTCCATCAGCTAATAATCCATTTGGTAAGTTAGTTTTATCATTTAAAAAAAAATTATATTTATCTATTAGCATTTACAAACCTCCTAGCCTACAATTTGCATTACAGTGTACAATAAAATTGTATCTACATTTACTGAATGATGAAACACCATAGTCTTTTATTTCATTCACTTTAGAGACGCTATATTAATTAAAACAACAGATACAGTGGCAGAAAAAGTATCCCAGTCAAAAGAAAATTTGTTCCTAGCTATTTTTTTGTACCTGTGCATAGACACAATACTAAAAAAAAAAAAAAAAAAAAAAAACTAATTGAATTTGGTCCTCAAAAATTCAGTGGATAGTAAGTACATTGTAAATATGAGGCATAACTACTAAGTCACTAGCTGTTCAGCGTGTACAGTGTGATTTTATTTTTATTTTTATTTTTTTTTGTGCATTTTCTGTAAGAAGTATCCATTTTTAGTTACCCCCGACTATTTCTCTGTGTTATCTCCATTCTTAATTATTATTTGTTTATTTGTTTTTTATTTTTTTCTTCTTCCTTTGATTTGCATATTCATTTCCTTTTGGGTTTCAACCAGGAACCTAAGGTAAAAAATGGCATGACATTTTCCATTGAACATTTTTGTGAAAAAAAAATAAAACAAAAAAAAAAGTTAAAAATAAAATTAAAACAATGAAAGTGCACAGCTTTTTACATAGATAAAGACTTCTGTAGGACAAATTTTTGTATTTCTTTAAGGCACAGATTGCCAGGGATTTATTTTTTCAATGAGTCTATCAGAAAGTTATCCAATGGAACCCAAAGCCCCAACTACAACTGAAATTATTGATGTCTTCATATGCCACATTTCTTAAATTTCCAATTCAAAAGCCTTATATTTTGATAATTTTTTTTTGTGAAGATTTTCAAAGATACATTACAGTTCGCAGGAAATGCCATGTCAGTCAGAAAGCACATTCTTTTTTTGTGGTCCTTGATCATTATGTTAATAATATCACAATATTATTATCATGTTTCTGTTTTTTCCCCTATCAATTTAGGATATCAGTAAGAATATAATGTCTCAACAAAAGTATTTGACTGTCCATCATACTCATATTTGTTGTATTGCCACAAAATCTTCTTCACCCTTCCTTTTCACCACTGCAGTTAATTCTATTGATATTTGCAAAGTAGGAAGGCACTCAGTGAAAACTGAACTCACTCTACAAGCAAGGTTGAGGTTACAAGCAATTGCACATTATGCACATAAAGTTTTTTACTTAGCTTAACATTATTTAGCTAAAGACCCAATACTGGGCCACACAGTGAAAATTGAATTCATCCCATTATTAAACTGGTCTGTGCAATGAGTTTACTAACTAGCACAAAAATAGTAAGTATCCTGTCACTGTATTTTTTTTGTTTTTTTTTTTTATTTCTTTTCAACTACTCTACATGTTGTCCATTCTTTTCTTAATTCTCTCCTCTTCATCTTTCATGTTGTCTATTCTTTTCCTTCTTCTCTTCTCCTCCTCTTTCATGTTGTCTATTCTTTTCCTTCCTCTCTTCTCCTCCTCTTTCATGTTGACCATTCTTTTCTTTTCATCCCTGACAACTATTTTTTTGTCAAAGCTTACATTACCATCAAGTTTTACCTATTTCTTTTTCTTTCTCTTCTTCCTCACTCTCTATTATTCATATTATAACCATTCTTTTCTCTCTTCTTCACTTCAATTACCCTCATTATTTATTTCAATGTAATGTTTTTAGAATTTCTGGCTTTCCTCTTTGTTCCTTTCATTATTTCAAATTTCAGTCAGCCAGTCATGTAAATCCTACAATTAATGTTTCATCAAAACAGTAACTGCATTGTAAATACAGCCTTTTTTATATTCTTATTTTCACCTTTAATAATTGATTTGACTTTCTTTTGATGTGCAAGAATTAAATGAACCTGAAAGACTGGCCAACCAAAAGCTTACCGAAAGCACTTCATGAAAGGATTTTGCTACAAGTTGGTAGTTACATCTTGGCCAAACAAAGGTTATGCAGCATTGATATAAAATGTTTTTATAACTTTTCTTATCATTCAGTTGACTAAATTTAGTCAAAGAAAACGTTATTATTCCTTAAATCCACTTTGTTTTCATGTTTTATTCTATGACTTGAAGGAAAAAAGAACCCTTTTTCTATTTTTTTTCTATTACTATTCAATTTATTGCTTTGGCCTTATTGCAGTCTTGCTTTTTTGTGTTAAATATATGACTTTTATTATTTATTTAGTTATAAATAGTGATTATTATTACTCTTATTTATATTAAGTCCTTTTTTTTCATTTCTTCTTTTTATCCTTAGGATTAACTTTTATTCTACAACTGTTGCTATTCATTTTCAAGTTAATACACTCACACTTTTCATATTAACATTATTAATGTTACATGGTTGAAAAGTATTTCCTTATTTATAGACAATATCTTAAAATTGTATTTTTGAACATAATTGAACTTTATGTGAGTTCAGTTAATTTTTAAAATTTTAAATATCAAAAAATGTGAGATTTCTTTTGAATGTTTTCTTGTGTTTTGATTTTAAGATGAAACATTTATGAACTGTTCTTACAGTTTTAAAAGTTTGTATAAAGAGTGTTTGCTGCACTCATTTACAAATCCATTTTTGCAGAGGGATATTGCAACATAGAATCTTGGTTAAATTCCTTCTTGCTTTTAATTCTTGATCTGTCTAGAACATACTCCAATCCTTAGTGAGTATCAATGTAGATAATACAAGAGTTTATAGGGGTAAATTTGCTTTTTTAATGCCCGCGCTAAATATCTCTTAAGTGAATGCGACTGAGTTCAAACTTTTATTGTCAATAACTCCAAAACAGTAGGTTTCTTCATAATTTAATTGTTAATTCGAGTTCAGCATGTACATTTACACGGAATTATGATGATTTGGGAACATTTTAAGAGATATTAGCATGGGCTTTAAAAAGCAAATTTACCTTTTATAGGTGCACCTCCAAAAATATGGAGGATCAGCACCTAGCAGACCATCTTTCGTCTGACTTAGCCCAGGTGGCTCAAAGACCAGACCCTAAACTTTCACCCATCATTATAGATAGGTTTTCTCTCAAGGAGGCTCCTTGCTTCAAATGTCTATTAGAAATAAAGCTCTCACCTGACCTCAACTGGAACTCCTATATATGATCTATTGCTAAAGATGCTTAAAAAATTGTTCATTGTATCTGATCTCCACTCCACCCCTATAATCTATCTTTACAAGAGCCAAATCAGACCAAAAATGAAGTATTGTTTCATATATTGGACGGAGCTGTGTTGATAGAGTTCAAAGCATCTATGCAGATTTGTGGGTGATTAATTTATTTTCTACCATCCAATGCCTTCCCACAGATGAAACATTGTGAGCCTCTCACTGCTCTATTGGTATTTCCATACATGTGTTGGGATGAGCTACATTTGTTAGTCCCACCAGCTCTGATCCTTACAACTAAGCCCCTTTATGCTCTGTACACAAGTGTAAATCATCCCCATTCCTTTGTATTCCATTAGTATGAAGTAAATTTCATTTGGACAACTTCTTCTCAAGAACTGCTGCTTTGTGGAACAGACTCTCAAGAGGATGTTTTCCCAATCATTATAATCTTTACCTGCATAACCTCATGAACTTCACTTCTTGCCTTTTCTTATGTATATACACCAGCAGTAGCCCTCTACTTTTGAATGGGTTTTGGGTCTTGTGTTGGGTGAACATTAGTATAAAAAAAAAACAAATAAAAATAAAGTGATTAACATTTCCAGTCACTTAGTATTTGATTAGTTTTATGCTTCACATATGAAATTTAATATTATCTTTTTCTGTTAATAAAATGTATTCTTAACACTAATCAAACTTTATTAAGTCTATATGCAATGTATTAAATTCCACAAATTTTCCATTTATTTTTATCTTGAGCTCTCTGTGAAAAATCATTCTTAATTAAAACAGATTGTTATCTATCCTTAAAAATTGAAGTAAATGATCTTTTTGTGAACATGAACATACAAGCCATAGTAACCACTTTTCTACTAAGAAAATGCCTCACTTAGAGACATATGCTATTATATTGAAGGTTTTAAAACAAAAGTCTCTTGTATATTAAAAAAGATCTTTTTTTTTTTTTTTTTTTTTTTTTTTGTCAATTTGGAAAAATTTAAACTGGGACTGTATTTAACTGTCTTTAGTCAGCCAGACATGCAATTCATATGCTCCTTAAACCTGTTTGATAGCATAAATATGTTTGTGATCAGGTGAGGAAAAAAAAAGATTCATCTTACTTAATCTAAAGAAACTAATACCAGAAACATTCAAATGAAAATTCTGTACTAAAAAGATTTCTTGTTTTAAAAGAAAAATTCCATTTACTGTGCCTCACCTCCTTCATTTTCATCTTCAAATTCACTCAACTAATTTTTCTTCTTTTTTTCAGTATGGAATGGAATATTATTTGTAAGAAAAGGAATGTATCAAGGAGGGATCTTTCGATTTATACTAAAAGTTTCTGAAACTTATCCTAATTGTGACAGCCCTGTATGTATAAATAATTTTACATTTAAAATTTTGTGATATATGAATTAATTAATATTTTTCTTCATGTGGACTTATTAATATATCTCTGTCTATTTCAAAGACTAAAGTATATAAAATAAAAAACAAATTGGGAACTTGAAGATATTATTATGACTTGCGTTTAACATTCTTGTCTTAAATTTCACAGTATTTAAGTCTGAATGTTTGTCCTCAATAATTTTCAATTCAATACTCTGTTTAATTTCTTAAATATAAAAATGAATGAAAGGTAAATTACCTATATTATGTCATCTTGCTAGGATTAATTAAAACATGTTCAAAATATAAATGCTAAAACTTGGACAAATCTCAGTAAATTATCTGCCATTTTGAATTACAACAATTCTTCCATCCTTTCATACTTAACCCTTTAGTATTCAACCTACCCTGTAAATATCATCTGTCAATGTACAACCCGCCATACTCTGCCCTTGTCTACTCTGCCATAATATATGATGACATCATTGCAAATAATGCAGGAAGTCACGCAAACAGTGAGTGAGAGCTGATATTTATGGAGCATGTTTGAGCGTGTTGAATGCTAAAGGGTTAAACTAGTTTTCTTCTCTATTTATCTCTGATCTTATCAAGTGACAGTTTTACAAGAAGCAAATAATTCACTTACCACATCATTGAGCAATGATATAAAAACTATCAGCTGAGAATTTCTGTTTTATGCTTTATTCAATCATTGTTTCAACTTGTCATTGTTTGTTCTGCTTTGAATACACACAAATCTGACAATTCAAGGAGGAAAATAGTAAAGTAGCTGCTTGACTCTAACTAAACAAACTTTGGACCACTTGAAAAGTTTGTCCAGGTTAACTTAAAATTAATGAAATCCATCTCTCAGATTTTAATGTCCTGGTTCATACTCCTTCTCCATCTATTGAACAGGAGTAGAGGGTTTATCCCATGTTTCCTAATTAAGATTGGGTTTCTGGTTCTTTCTAAAGTTTTCTCATTCCTTTCTCTCCCAGTAACCCCTTGCATCTTAGTGGCATTATCACCTTGGGGTAAAATGATTAAAAAAAAATTTTTTAAATAGCAAATACACACTATTTTTCTTTTTTTTAATAAAAGATCTTTTAAAATTATAGAACTAAACTTGATTCATTGTTTCTACGTTTTCTTTATATCTTCTCTTGTTTTAATTATTTCTAGTTTGAATGGCAGCAAAAAAATTGATTTTATGTTCAGATATATGTAACGCTACTGAATCTTTAGAAATATTTTTATAAGAATTTACACTAAGAAAATTAATGTTAATCTTTATTAGAACAGCATTAGTTGATTTGGTTGCGCAGGATGTGTAACAGATATTGGCACCAAAAATTGAATTGTTGAGCCAAATTCTACACTAGTCTGTTGCTTCTAAACAAATGCTTTTGGGAAAGGAATAAAATTTTATCTCCTCCAACCCTTCTCCAACTATAGGTTAAATAGCAAGGTAGACTTGACTCTCTAGCCTTGGATGGCAGTCTAAGTGAAGGAACACCTACATCCTAAAGAGGCATGACATTGAAAAAAATGTTTAAATAATTAGTTTCTTTAAATTGGGCATTTTAAAGTTTCAAAATAACTTTTCCAATTGCTTCATTACATACAAAAACCATATCTCTACTTTTTTTCTCTCATTCTCTAATTTTCTGTCATTATTTGTAATATTTACTAAGTTTAGTATGATATAAGTTTAGTATGATATAAGTTTATGATATAAGTTTAGTATGATATAAGGCCATATTAATGATGATGCTGTGCATATATTCCAAATAGCAAAACAAGCCTTCTTTGAAGATTAGTATCCTAGCTTTTAGCTGGGTTGGATCACCAATTCCTGGTAACAGTAGGAAATATTTCAGTCAGGAAAATGGCCACAGCTGCTTGTAGACTTGATATTTATTAAGCTTTATCCAGGACAAGGCCAAATGGTAGGAGAGGGTCGGTCTGCTTGCTTTGAAAATCAAAATTCAAAGTTTTGGCATTTTACCTGTGTATAGCCACAGATGGGAAATATGCAAATATCAAACAGCTATCCTTCCTGCTGTCATGAGTTATATAAGAAAATAAATTGTACTAAAAATGTTACTTGTGACCTCAAAAACAATTTTCTCCAAAACAACCTTGTTAGTCTTATGTTATTCTATTATATATTTTTGGATAATCCTAAACTTTAGAAAGTTTATCTGAATTATTGAAGAATGAGTAGCTGAGATTATGCTTGTCGGTGCAAGTTTAGTGACAATATCATAACAGTAGAAAATTGTGCCAATCATTTATTCTGAACTAATTTTTCAATATAAAAAAAGTACTTATGGCACCCAAAAGTATTTTTGTTTTTTGTTTTAGACTTTTACTTTCAAATGAAATTCATAGTTCCATGCTTCCCATTGTTGGTGGACAGGAAAGTGTGTTTACATGGTCAACAAAGATTAAAGGTTCTCTAAATTCAAAACTTAAAACATATTAACACTTCTGCTGATATAGAAATACTTGTATCTCTTTGTGAGACTTATATTGCCTGGTATCAAAGTATATTCTTTGGCATTTGTGTTATAAACTAGTACTTGGTGCTATTTACACTATTTACATTCTGACTATCATCTACATCTTTGTTTGCTGTTATCACAACAGTTTGACTGTTCTTCATCCGGTATATATCTATCCAGGTAACCTACGAATGTTATTAAGATAGATTACCCAGATTGATATACCCCTGATGAACACTAGAGAGCACAACAGCCGAAACATTGTGATAACAACAGCAAAAATGAGGAGAATAGTCCAAATGTCAATAGTGTGAATAATGATAACTCCTCATCTCATAAATTCAGACAGAAATTAGCACTTACTGCTCATTCTACATCAGTGTTATGTACAGTACATGTTTTGTGATGTATTTTATATTGAGTGTTGGTATGTTGTTTGTCTTAGTCTCTACTACAGTGTATCCAACTGCAACCAAAATGTCAGTTTCCATGAGAAATTGCCATCAGCATCTTCATAGTCATTTATTTCCATTAAATGGCAATTTCATGTTTTTCCTAAAATGTGCCAGCACAGCCAGGCAACAATGAAACAGTGAAAGTGTTAAGTAAAAATTAAGTTATGATTTGAAATTTTTTAAATTATGATAAACATTTAATTAATTTCAGTGAACCTGTTAACTTTTAAAAACAATTTATTTTCCATATTATTTTAAAATCATTTTTTATTTAAATTTTAATAATATTTTTAAATTTCTAGCAGCAGAAGATAGGAACCAAGTCAACAGTAAAACTATTCAGCCATTAAAAAATTAGATTTGATAGCTTTTTGCTCCTCTCAACTATCCCTATACAAATTTTTAAACTGTTTTTTTTTTTTTTATTAAATTTTTTGTTTTCTTTAGACCCTCTTTTTCATTCCCCCCTTGTTCCACCCAATGGTTCACCCTGAAACAGGAGAATTGGATGTTAAAAGAGCTTTTCCAAAATGGAGGTAATGTCAACATGAATTCTTTCCCTTTTAATTATTATTTATATTGTTTCTTGTTGGAAATAAATTTTATCAGTAAAATTAAGAAATGGTAAATTTATAATTTTCAAAATATAATGAAATGTTACTGATCTGTTCAATTATGGCTATTTAATCTAAATTTTTCATTTTTTATTATTTTAAATGGTGTTTCATCAAATTAATATTTGCCTAATATATACTATCATGTTAAGTATATATAAATCCTGTGTTAATGCTGCTTTTTTTTCTAAGATATATTTCACTCTGTAATATTTTAAAAGATCAGATTGCTTTGGAGGAATTAAGAAAAAGCATTTAATTTCTGTACAAGATTTGAACCACAGAATCATGAAATACAAACAATATATTTATTTTAGCTAAATATTTTCTCCATATTTAAAGTCTCAGCAAGTAAGTTAATTCTTTCAACATTTTGTGATTCAAACATTATTTGCATGTCTTTCTAAAAATCCCTTATTCTAAAAATTTGATCTCTGCATGGAGGGAGTGTATTAACTTGGATTTAAATTCTTTAAGCATCTCAAAGAAACACTTTTGTACTTATAGATATATTACTGTCAATTTCTGTTACATTTACATAAAATAATACAAAGGGTTGCTGAAAAATACTTGGCCTGACCAAGAAGGGAGTCAAAATAAAATTCTGATGTTTGGTCAGATTTTGTGAATTTTTCAGCACCTCCTTATATATAATAAACTATATTTTTAAAATCTCATTTTGACAGGAAAAACGTAAATCATTTATGGCAAGTTTTATTGTATGCCAGAAGAATATTTTATAAAATCGATACAAAAACACCTTGGAATCCAGAAGCAGCAGTTTTGTAAGTATTTTTCTTTCTTCTATCTCCATATTCTAATAAAATTGATAGCTTGAATTGAGTTTTTCTAAGAACTTCTGGAAATTGTTAGACTTGTCTGGCGTGGCCAACATTGCATGACAAGAGGCTTGCCTTACAAACACATTTAATAATTGAAACAAAAGAAAAAGAGAGAGAGAAGAGGGGATTTCAGTTCTTTTGTCTTTTCTTTTATTTCAGATAATTTTTTTTTTTTTTTTTGCAGCATACAAATTTGTGAAAAATACAATATAGAACTTGCACAAAATTTCTCTTTCGTGGTACCAAACTGGATGAAAATCATCTTCTTTGGAGGCATATACTTTTTATCCCCATTGGTTTAAAAATTCAATTAACTATCCAATCAAACTATGCGTGTTTGCAAACTTTAATTTGGTGTGTTTTTGACAACATCAGAGTTGTGCTCATTTTTGTAATACATTTCTAGTCATGCTTGGTCTCTTGGTATTTTTTTAACTTTAAATTGGAGCTTCTTTTTTGCAAATTTTTGCTAATAAATTTTTATTTGTTTTTTTTTGTTTTTTGTTGTTGTTTTTTTTTTTTTTTTCAAAGAAACCATGTTAGTAACTTTCTAATTTTGCATACAATTTTATTATCTTTATTACAAATAATTTTTTGTGACACTTCCAGATATGATCAGATTGATTTGTATGAATCAAAAGTTGCAGAAACAGTGAAATTGTGCAAAGAGAAACTCTATGAGCTTCCTGACACAGAGGATAGTCATGCTATTCGGTGAGTATATGTTTTGCTTGTCTGCTCAGACTGTTTTTCTAATTAACTATGGGCCTTAATACTATATCAATTTTTACCATTTATAATGGTTTTCTGAGGTTCTGAGCTAGGTTTCCATTATTGTATCTCTTTTTGAAAGATTATCTGCATCTTTGCTGTTTTAATACATTTCAACTCATATATTCAATCTTCCTCAAGAGTTATCCACTTGAAATATATTGTTCAATAAAAACTGACAATTTACAACAGTTTATATGTATAATTTAGTGTGTGCCTTTCTGAGTGGTTAGAATGTTAACATTCTAACCATGAGATCCAAGTTCAAATCTCACCATGATTTTGCCAAGAAAATGACCATGATAATATCAGTCTGGAGAGATGATCCCAGCATGCAGCATTGTTGGAAAGTGGCTGAAAATCCTACCTTGGATTGATTTAAGCTTTGTTAGTGAAATTGAGTAGATTGATATGCTAGAACAAAGTAACAAGACCCTGTGACAAAGGGTACAAGTGTAATGGCCTTGTTCCACTGATGATCATGCCAGATTATGTCCTCTTTTTCCTAGAAACTCTAGCTAAAGTATACTCAGAAGTTTCATTATAAACAACAGGTTGGCTCTGTGTGTCTTGAAGAAACATGTGTACCTGAGCAGGTGTCTGCAACAGGGATTAGCTAGTCATCTGTGTAGAGAGGCATACTCAGACATGAGCAGTCAGCCATTACTCATTGGCTGGTTAACTTTAATGCCTCAAAAACAAAACTGCTCTCTATTACTCACCACAGAGAACCATCACTGCCCCCCCATTAGAATGTCTAACGCTCAACTTCTTGAGAGCTCCTCTTTGTGACTAATCAGCCTCACACTGACTGCTGACCTGAGATGGAACAAATACATTGAGTCAATAGTTTCGTCCACCACAAGGAAAGTTGGCTCCCTGTGCTGCACCAGGAAATTTTTCTTGCCGGAGTCGATCCTTCTAATCTACAAATCAACCATTTGCCCTTGCATGGAGTATTGTTGCCATATATGGCCTGGTGCCCCTTATGTTTGTCTCAAGGTTCTTGATAAGATCCAGAGACTGATATGCAGCATAGTTAGCCCTAATCTGGCATCTTGTCTGCAGTCGCTCTCTCACAGACATGCCGTCACCTCCCTCTGTCTTTTTTACAAATACTTTCATGGTAACTGCTCCAAGGAGCTTTTTTTGCTGGTTCCCAAATTTAATGAATTTAAGCATTCTCCTAGGCTGGCATCTCGCTCACACCCTTTCACTGTCGAAACTGTTAAATGTAGCCGTCTCTTCTACTCCAATAGCTTCATGCATTGCACCTCTTGCCTGTGGAACTCCCTCCCCTCTTCCTGTTTCCCTGATAGCTATAATCTCCAACTATTCAAATGTAATGTCAATCGACATCTCCAGATGCCCTGATCTATCCCCTATCCTTCTCTTCATCCTTTCGTCTATCACTCCTATTTGCTCTAGCTTCAACTCACTGTAACCCCTTGCATGCTAGTGGCTTCCCACCTTGCTTGGGGTGAAATGCTTTAAAAATATATATATATATATATATATATATATATATATATATATATATATATATATATATTTATATATATAATTTAATGATAAAGTTTGATATAAAATTATAGATATGTTTTGCTATATTTCTGTTATACATCCTACTGGTATCATTGATTAGTACATAATTTAAATTTACTTTTTAGTGATGATTAGAATTTGGCATCCCAATTGGTACTAAACTTTAGGTCACTAAAAGTTTTTAGCTCTATTCTTGTTTACAGCTAGATCACATTGAAACACCAGTTCTTGTATGATTACCAAAGCTAAGCCTGGTCAGTACTTACATGGATGACCACTTGAGAATATCAGGTGCTGTAAGTTTGAATGTGTGTGTTGTATAATCTATAATAGCTCAGAATTGTTAATCAGAGAGCCAAGTTCCAATTCCCATTGGTTTTGTTATATTCATTTACACACAAATACCATTGGGAAAGATATAAATTCACCTCTTCTCTCCACCTGATATGGGTTAATTAGTAAGATTTGTATCACAACCATTATTATCTTCAAAAAAAATTCTTACAATCTAAAAAAAAAAATATTTTCTGGCTTTAAATAACCTGCAAAGATTTAAGCTGTAGAAAATGTTTCAATCAATCAAAAATCTCTGTTCTTGAAGAAGATTCTAGAACAAAGAGAAAGAAATAGAAATTAATACTATATAATTTATCTTGTGGCTATCATGGCAATATTCTGCTTCATCAAAAAAAAAAAAAAAAAGCTGTGGGAGTCCATGATTACAATTGTCTGTTGGGCTATTTTTTATATCTTTACTCAATGTTCATTGATTTTTTTTTTTTTTTAATTCTAGATTTACAACATGGGATCCATCAGTTCATGATGGAATACGGAAAGCTATCATTAAAAGCAAGTCACCTCAGGTGGGTAAAAATTTCCTACTTATTTTATATGCATTTTGATAAGTAAATAATTTCTTTTTAATGTGTGTCTTTCTGTAATTGTGAGTCTAAATCTCCACAAGTTGAAGACAACTGCAACTACAGATACTTACTTCAATATGGACAGATAGACCTTTAATGTTGAACTAAAACAGCACCAAAATAAAAATTAAGAACTAAGCTTTGAGAAGAATTTGCCCAGAAGCTTGTCTTTCATGGACATCATTTTAATTTCTTCAATCCCAGAATTTTTCTATAATTAAGCAGAGTACAAATCTGTAATTATTAAGCCACCTGCTTCCTCTCTGATTTTATCATTCCATTTTTATTTTACTGCTGAGATTTCATGAAAATAATGACTTAAAAAGTGTTTAGAATGCAACTAAATTGCCAAGAGAAGCAACTGAAAATGATTTCTTTGAGAACCAGATCATTTGTTTGAGTTTATGCCTTCATTTTTCAAGATGGTAATATAAATCATCACAAGGCTCTTAATGTATTATAATCGTAATTGCACCACATATATTGCAACCATAGCAGAAGTGGTGTGACTAGTGCAAGATAGCCTGACGGAGCCTATCCCTCTTCAGATTGGTTTTGAATTCAGTTTCCTTCTTAGAGACTGGTTGCCACCTCAACATAAGAGAGCCCAGTCTACCTTAGGTGGAAGTAGATGGATTTGTACCTTTTCCAATGGCATTAATGCAAAGTAAATAAAACAGAATTAAGTAGAAATTGATAAATTTATCTATGCCTCCTTGGTAATATAAATGGCTTCTGCTCAATTGTATTTGTGGTTATTTGAAATTTAGATAAGTTTTTTTTTCTTTTTTTTACATCAAGTCAATGATTTACTTGTGTTTTTATATATTTTCAATGAATGGGATTATTATTCTATACATGATTTCATACAGATTTGATAACAAACAATATTGTTCATATATACTTATCAAATAGAAGTTTAATTTTATAAATTTTTTATGGACTGTAATTTTTACAGTTCATGTATGTCATGTCTACAGTTTTTATTTTTCAAAATTAGATGTTTGACTTTCATTGTTAACAGGATGTAACAAGAATAAAAAAAAGTTTTTTTTTCTCTCTATCTCTCAAACATTGCACACAAGACAACATGGATTATTGAGGCAGAGTTAAATACAAAAACTATTTGCATAAAAACATTTCAAAAACAAAGTAAATAATTTCTTTTATCATTGCTTTATTAAATGAAAAATTGTCTTTGTTCTCATTGTTGCATTTAAAAAAATACAGTTTTTATTAACATCAAAAAACGATGTTTAGCATGAAATGTCAGCTTGTTTATGAACAAAATACTTTCAGAAGAGCTGAATTGCTACACACTGACAGAAGTCTATATTTTATAAAGTTTTTTTTTTATTCAAACACCTGGTTCAGTAAAAAGTGTTTTGTAAATACTTGCAGGGTTTAAATTTTGAATAAATTCTTTTGAATACTATAGAAATAGACAAATATCCATGTCAGATTTTCTTCTGGTTAAAAATAGTGTGGACATATATAATTAAATAGTATGACAGACTAAGCTCTTCGGTACTGGGTGGCAATCAGTTTAAGACAAGGAAGGACAACTCTGAATTAAAAAAAAAAACCTATGACTGACACTATCACCAGTCATCTTGAACATTCTTGTCACAGGATTATGGTAGTTGACATTCAGAGAGTGGCATTCATATTGTCCAAGTGTTTATCTCTGTAATCTCTCTAAGTTAAAGATACTTTCTTGTAAAAAAAAAAAGTGGTCATGCTTGAAATTGAGTTGACAGCCATCATTTTATATATATATATATATATATATATATATATATATACACCAAAGATTGCATTGAGGTGTGAAACTAACAATGTAGTGTTGATCACTACATCTATATTGTCTATATACATAAACACACTATATCCTATACTGAGTACTCTTCTATAAATATACCAAATTTTAAATATTATATATATATATATATATATATATAATATATAATGTCCTAAAACCGTCTAAAGTTTTAAGGACTTCTCTGTAAGATATAAATATCAAGCAAAATGAAAGTAAATGTATTGGGTTGGCCAAAATGTTTATTTGGATTAAGTAAATTGCCTACTTAATAAGCAAAAAAACTTTTGGCCAACCCAATATTATATTTCAACATATTCCTCAGTACAAAGAATTTTGAATTTCCCTAAATATGTTCTGTAGTTACTCTTGAGTTGTATAAATATAAAATTGTTCAAATTTATTTTATAAAGATCTTTTTGAGATTAAGCTGTTGTTGAATAAACAAATGCTTTTCGTATTCTGCTTGATACTTTGATTCTCAAAGAGAAGTTAAAAAGTCCACAACACCCTATATAATCAATTTGAAAATGTTTTGCTGTCAAACCAAAGAAAAAAATTACATGACCCATCTTTCAATTGAAAATGATACAATAATACAGTTTCTAATCATCTAAAGAGAAATGATGCTGACAAATATTTAACCTTTTTAAGAGAACAGCAAAGGTGAGTATGAATAATAATACAAAGAAAGTAATGGATATAATTTGTCTTTTTCTGTAGATATTGATTGGCAACTTGAAAAAAGAAACTGACCTATGCTTTGATTTCTAGCAATTTTGTTTCTGCCACCTTTTAGATAGCATAGTGATCCTGAAGATGTAAAATTCTGAAGTCATATGTTATCGCCTTAGGTAGGCATATATATGTATATAAATATATATATGAAGGGGCACTGAAAAGTTCTCAGGCTGATAAACAATAATGACCGAGATCCATGAATATATATAAATATTCATCCGACAATTCAACACCCTTGGTACATTGTTTTTCAAGTTTCTTAAACCTTTAAAAAAAAAACATTTGTAGTTTGGTCATTGAAATGCTGAGTGGGTCAGGCCAAGAACTTCCCAGTACCTTCTCATATTTCCATTCATTCAACCTGTCTTTTTTACCACCTCCCCTTCAGTCTGTTAAGCATGACATTAATGCTATATAACTCTTTCATACATCTAATACTGTTACCATTCTTACTACTTGTTCAGTTACTTATTGACTGCAGTTTTCTTAATATATTATATATGCATGACTTTTCTACTTACTCCATGTTCCACAATTTAATCTTTCTCTCTTTTCTTTCTTCTTACCTCAGCCAAGCTCGGAAATAATTCTTTTTGAACATCTTTTTGTTGCTTAGAAGTTTAGTTATTCCCAAAGTTACATGGGAAAAGATATTTCCTTCATCAAAATCCAGTATAATTGACATATGCTCAGTTAAAGTTTTTCTCTTATGTTCTGAAATGTACTTGACTTTATTCCAAGAGATATTTTCAATTGGTATTTTCTTTTTTGCCTTATAACTTTAAAGAAAATATTTACTTCAGCTTTTTTCATCTGTGTAGTTCGTTAGATATTTTTCTCTTACAGATATTGTTCTACTCGGTATATGTAGACAATTTTTTTAGACTTTTTGATTATCTATGTAGACAAGAATCTTTTATTCTCAGATATATAATTACAGGAATACTCAAATTTGACAAATTCATTTGTTCCTAATGATACTCATAAAGCAGAAGTTTGTAAAGTGAAGTATTATTACTCATAGAAACATACTTCAATTAAAATATTAAAATAAATAATATTAAATAAGGTTAATAAAATAACTATACATTTCAAATTGAATTTTTTATTTCTTCCTAAACATTTAATGAAGTGGAAAGGATCATTTTATATTTGTCCTTTTCAACTAATCTTTTTATTGCATTGCCTATATTGGAAATGTCTGCTCCGCCTCTGTCTTTTTTTATTTATTATTTTGATTATTGTTTTGATTTTTATCTTTTTTTCTAATAAATTAGTTTTAATGCTTGCCTTTTCTTGTTACTATAAATTTCTCAGTAGTAAGCGTGAGGTTTCATTAAGTTTTTAACAACTGTCAAGCTTCTTTCAAAATCAAATGGTCCAAAGTTTCAATGACTTTTTCAATGTGTTTAAAGGCTTCTTTAAGTACCTTTTCAAGTGAAAAATTAGATGGCAGTTTCAGCTTCCAAAATTTCTTTTCTTTTTCTTTTTTTTTGCTTTCTTATTCACACATTGCTACAACTGAGTTATCAAATAAATGTTACAAGAAGAATCCCAATTCAGCATATAGAAATGACTACATTTATTTCCACATCTGTATATAATAGAGATATGCCATATTTATTTTATATTGCTGCCATATCTGGCCTGATGCTTCTGCTATATATTTCAAGATTTATGACAAAATCCAAAGAAAGGTCTGTAATGTTATTAGTCCTGATCTAGCATCTTGACTTCAGTCAGTTTCTTAATGCCATGACATAGTTTCCCTCCATCTTTTCTATATTTTCATGGTAGTTGTTCTAATACACTCTTCTCCTTAGTAGTTCAACTGCATTAAATTAAGCATACTACTAGATTGGTAACTATGTCTTATGATTTTACTGTTGAATTAGATTGATGTAATCATAAGTTCTATTCTAATAGTTTTTTTCAATCTTCTTGCCAATGGAACTCTCTTCTCATTTCCCTGCTACCTACAATGTTCAAAAATTTAAACACAATGCCAATTGCAATCTTTTTGTCTTCCTGAATCCTGTTCTTTTATTTTATTTTCTCCTCACTAAAGATTTTTAAATTCCATTCACTCCCAGTAACCCCTTGCATCTTAGTGGCATTATTACTTTGCTCGGGGTGAAATGATTAAAAAAAATTTTCATAATCCAATCAAAATGAAATCCTGACTGTCCTTTTAACTAACTGATTTTTAGAAGGAATTAAAAAAAAAGTTTTATTTTTCTTTCTTTTTCATTCTTGGATCATTTTCAACTTATGAATGATTTATAACAAGAGAGAAATATTTGGCCCACAGATAAAAGGATAGTCTCATAGTACCAAAAGACTCTCACAACATTTATATTTTAAATAAAATCCAAATAGAAAAAGCTAGAGTGATGATTTTCAGGCATCCAAGTTTGTGGAAAAGGCCATATATTTCATTTCTTTCTCTTTTTTTTTTTTTTTTTTTTTTTTTGCACATTACTGAAATCACAGCAGCCTTTTATTGACAATGTAAAAAAAATAATCATATTCTCCTACCTGATCAACTGAAATTATACTTTTCAACTCTTCAAAAATAAAGAAAAATAAGTCCTTCTCAATATTTATTAATCTTATTATAGCATAAGGCCAAATATAAGAGAAATATAGATAGAGAAATTATAATAGCCAGTTTTTCAAATGGGGAGGGATTGACAGGCTAGAAAATCAGCATTCAAAATTCTGATTTTTAACTGGACTAAAATATTGGCCCCATTGGAAATGTTCTGTGAGTTGTCAGAACTGAAACTATTGCTTAAGATTGCTATTTTATCATGTTCTGTTTTTCAGGCTATTGTCTAATGTTGCAATTCATTTTTATTCAATAACATTTAATTTCTGATTTCCAACCAGACACAAAAAAAAACCACAGTGAAACAAGCCTTCTGTCATTTCTGTTAATTTCACGCTTGCTTTTGGGCTGAAAAGCTGGCATTTGAACCAGCCAATTAGCATATCTGCATTTTTCTTTTCTAAATAACCTAAGCTTTTTATTGTTTTGATTGCTATTAATCTTGCTTCCATTTGCTTTTTGATTTAGAAAAGCATGATAAAGAGCATTTCTATCAGTTTTGCTTCTTGTAAATACAACCATTAGAAAAGACCAAGTTTGTACAGACTTAATATCAGCAAAAATAAGTACTTAATTATTCATTTATTTTTGCATTTGTTTAATGTTTACTATGTTTGTCAAGTTCCCTTTAAAAATATCTCAGCTTATGGTATATATTTTACAAACTTTTGTTTCAAAGTTATTTTACTGCTATCCATCTGATCAAAGTATTCAGGTGTTAATAGAAATATTACTTATATACACAGCTACACAATCAAGTAAAGTCAATCCTTAAACTCTCAACAGTAAAGAAAATTAAGCTGCTTTGTCTCAATATTTATTAATCTGATTAAAGCACAAGTCCTAATAGAAACAAAACAAAGGTAGGAAAATTGTGTTTATCAACTTTCCAAATGGAGAGGGATTGTCTAGAAGATCAGTATTCAAAATTCAAATTTTTACCTGAGCTCAAACATTTTTCTCTAATCCTATAAGACATTACAGTATATATCCTATATACTGCGATGTTTTATTATATAAATCATTTTCATCAAGGAATATGAATGATGGCGGGGGGGGGAAGCATGCAAATAGATAAGCACATGGAATGTTTAAGGAACTAGAAATGGTAGAATTTATGTAGAAACAGAAAATTTCAGATTTTGAGAGTAAAAGAAAAGTTTAAACTCCAGATTTGCTGCTATTTGATCCAATGTTCAAACACAAAAGAGTGGTTCACAGTAGTGTTCATTCTGTATTCTTAATGTCACTAAAAATCTGCTGGATAGTGAATGCATTTCAGACCAAATTATAAAGATTCAGTTGAGAGAAGTGGACACATAGCAACTAGTTGCATTCACATTTACACTCCACGCAATAACAGCTATACAGATGAAGAGGAGAACAGGTCCTCTGAGATATTCATGTAATTGTTGGAAAAAGACTCCAGATACTGAAGGTATTTTTGACCATAGCAACCATACCTTGGCCAATGACACAACAGAGAAAGAAGGTAGCAGACAGGTGGTCAAAATCCCGACAAAGGTCATCCTTATGTGTGATGAGACAAACATCCAGTGGCTTAAAAACATTTTTCTGAAGACCAAGGAAGAAATAAGAGTATCTGAAAGGTTCACAGTTAACAGTAGTAGTTGATTTGGAAGAAGAGAGGAGGTGAAAACAATGTAGCACACATGGAAATGTTGGTAAAATAAAGAGCAATGGACAGGATAAACAGTGAAATCCCAACTCGGCATTTGTGTTCAGGAGGCACACAAGATGCAATCTTCCTTCTGAGGTAACCGTGATGAGGCTACCAAGTACAACAATGATCTAGGAAAAGTGTTCATGAACCAGGGAATGTTGATTGAGTAAATAGAGCAAAACTAGAGAATCACAAAAGACTATGGATAGAGCTGAATCCTATTTTTCTTATTGTCCTTTCTCCAAAGGAACATTTTCTCAGTTTCCTTCACTCTCTTTTATCCTCAGTAACTCCTCATATCTTAGTGGCTTTATCACCTTGCTTAGATTGAAATAATTTAAAAAGAAAATGCTGTAACAATACTAGACTGATCAACTGATTTGAGGTGACATCACTTGTTTTTCATCTATTGGGCACAGGTGTTTGAGTTTTCCTATAGCCCCACTGAACTTAAATAAAGTCAATTCAGGTTTGCTATGGTAAAAATTTTCTATCCAAGTAAAAAATCATCACAAAAATGGCAAAAGTCATTTTGTTACAGCTTATTTTCTCTCAAAAAATGGATTTTCATACTTTTTAGGGATAAAATATTGAAAAATGATTGTTTTATCATCACCTAAATAAATATCAAGGAAACTTTTGATCTGAACCTCATGAAACTAGGTATTTTCTGAAAGCAAAGGATATATTCTTTCATTTAAAAGTAAAATTGGCTGATGTAAATGACTCAAATATTTTTTTTTCAGGGGTTAAAATATGAAAAAATAAGGAAAATTTTACATTTTTTTCTAGTTCTAAACAAAAATTTTCCCCATTAAACTTTTTTTTTTTTTTTTTTTAAAATCAGAAAGCCTAAATTATAATCAAACTTTCAGGCGTAGAATTGAGAGTTTTGAAGGAAGTCAACATTCCTAGGGGGTCAAAATGCAACAAAGCTCATTGGTAATCTTCAATTATATGATTAATAATTTCAAACAAAAAGAAAGAATTCCATTGTTTGAACAAACTTTGAAATGTTAATGACTCTTTTCAGTGATAGAAAATATAAAAAAATGTTGCTTTTTGTTTACTTCTATTTATTTCCATCATTTTTATTGTTTTTCAGCCAGTATTTCTTTTCTTGTTCTAAACTTTGACAGTTGGTTGCTTATATTAATTATGTTGCAAAACCCATCACTTGAAGAATGTTGAAGGATTTGCTAATAGAAACTGGACTTTTTAAAATTTTTTTAATTCAAATAATGTAAGTAACTAGCCAAAGCTGGATTCAAATTAATACTATTTTTAAATAGAATTCTATATTAGTACTACTTAAAGTGTAATATGTGAACTATAGTCTGTCTGTACATTGTTAGATTTCACATATTTTATGATATTTGAAGCAGTGATTCTCAAAATGTTATCTGCAAACCACTTGAAAGGAATATTATTTTGTAAATGAAGAGAAAATTTTTAAAAAAGAACTCTAGTTTTAGAAGGTTGTTATTTTTATTGCAACATTATCATAAAGTTAAATCTAATGAAAATGTTGGTAAATTCTAATTAAAATAATACACTGTATAATTTTAATCATCATAGTGGGTCAAATGATAAAGAAGATATGAGGATCCAACCATTTACCATTAAACCAGATTTCAAAGATCTGTACAGAAATGAACATTAAGTGGTCTGCAAGGAAAAAAAGTTTTGGGAACCACTGTTTTACATGATAAATCTACAATAAATTCTTTTCACAAATAGTTAAAAGGAAAAAAAAATATTTCCAACTTAGAAAAACCTGAAAGTATTTCAAATATTTGTGATATAAACCTTTAATCTCAGCTTGATATTTTTGTGTTTTAAAATCTACTTCTCTTAGTTTTAACTGTTGAGAATATATTGAGTTTTAATTTGATTACTTTTATTATCTTTTTCAGGAAAAGGCTTCAAGTCATACAGATGGTTCAACAGGTCTTTCATGGATGATGCCAGATAATCCACAGATTTTCTCCAAAGAAGACATGTCCCCTTCGTAATAAAAGCGCTTCTTTTAGTATCGACACAATTACTTCCCCTAATTTACATATCTTCCCACAACACTTTTTAATTTTTTAGCCAAAAATCAAATAAAACGAAATTTTAACAGAATTTTTGTCAATGATAATTGTAATAAACTTAAACATTAAAATCTAATGGTAGAGATTAAGGTTAGCATTTAGAAACTCCTTATGCAAATTTATAAAAAAAATTGTTTCGATTTGACCATTATATTTTATGATCATCAAAAGCTGAACTAAGTTAGATGTTTTACCAGTTCTAACATCCATGCTTAGGAAATTGGAAAATCACTATAATTTTTTCAATTAAAAAAACATTGTTTCCCTTTTGATGGTGATAGAGAAAGTCAAAAGAAACTTACTTTAAACAGAAACATTGATGAAATGAATTCATGAATGTCAGTAAATCTAAAAAATTTTAAATCTTGTAAACCTCTGGCATTATGAATCTTTCCCTCATAGGTAATAATGACTGAATTTAAACATGCTCATTTTTTGAATATTTTTTTTTTTGACGTGGGGGGAGGGGCATCCTTAAAAAGAAAGATTAATAATTCAGAGATGAATTGTTACAGGAAATAAATTAACTGAAATCAAAAAACTTTTATGGATTTCCTATCAGTAAGGGTGTTTTAGAAAGAAGTCACATAATAAAATATTGAAGGCCATGAAGCTTTGAGTAAAAGAATTTTCAGTATCCTTTCAAATAGAAAATGTTTCTGCTAGATAATTTTGTCAACTGCCAAATGTAGATAAAATAAATGATATTTTGAACCCTTTTAGTCTAGTTATTTTGTATGGAAATAACATTTACAGAAATTTATACTAACTAAACATTTGTCATTAGGGAGGATGCACTAGAGTCAATAAGGCTTTATTTTTTTTTTATTTAATTCTTGAAAGTCTCCAACCTAATTTAATCAATATAGTTATTACTTCTTTCTTGCCTTAAAAGCAGAGATTATGAATTCGTTATATTGAAGAGGCCTATTTATATATAATAGTTCAAGACTCATCATATAGATGTTAGAATTTGTAATTAGTCCTATTAGTCACCCTCCAGTCCAGAGAAACTTCATTTCTGTTTTCTGACTAAAATCAGTTCATGACTCGTTTCTTCATTGCCTTATCAAAACATTTTCTATCACCTGCAAAAATGGGAACTTCAAGAAAAGGTTATCTTCGGAAGTATCTTAAATTGCCGATTAAAACAAACGATTTTATTTTAGGGAGAAGAAAATTACTTGATCCATATAAAATTTCTGGAAAGTTAATCAACGTAGATTGTAGATTTAGGAGAGTAATGTCCCTTGTCGCTTAACTAAGTCTGCTGGTTACATTATTTTTCGTTAATTGTTGGTAAATAATATAACCTGAAATATAGCATTTAAATTTGAAATCATAATTATCTCATTAAATCAGTCACAAACATTTTTATCATAATTTTAAAAACCTGCAGAAAGTCACTTTTAGCTAAAACTTCATTCTTGAAGTTTACCATTTTATCGTATTTTGTAAGAGTATAAAATAAATGATGTTGAAGCCATGATTGCTTGAAATTTTAGAAGTGACCATTTCAACCTTGAGCAGCTCTTTCATACCTTATCTATCGATACTACAGCCAGTTTTTTTTGTATTTGGAAATTATTCAAGGATCATAAAGCAAATAAAATGGCTTTTTTTAAGTATTACTTGAAATACAACATGAAAATAGACATTTAAAGTTGAGTTAATCCTTTCCTAATTTAAGCATGAAATAGTTTTCTACATTGAAAACCAAAGTTTTCTGGATATGATTAATACTTTTTGTGAATACATATGTTAGCTAAATCATTAAATTAAAATGAATATTTAATACCTCTAAACTTGTACACTTGAAGGATTTTAGTGTAACCCAGTGTTACAAGACAAACTCAGATACCAGAAAATTGCAGATTTAACCCCCCTTTTACTCTTATGTCATTGAACATATAAAATAGCTGAATATAAATTTCTTTCAGTAGTTGAAAGCAAATTTTAAAGGGAAAATATCTTTATTGGATTAATCCAAAACGATTTTTTGTAATTTTTGTACATTGTTTGTTATGCATTATTCATACATTTAAAAAATATGTAATATATTCACTTTTTTTTTTTTTTTTTTAATGAATTTATGCAATGTTTTTATATTAGTTTATTAGACAAGGTTCTGTTTTAAAGATAAAAATTCTAATCTTGGTTACTTTTAAAAATAGAAATCTTCAGAGAATTTATTATTAAAATATGCAGCATAGAAGGAAAATTTAATATTTCTATTAAAATATTTAAATTGCTCACCTTGTTTTTATTTGCATCTTTAAAAGATTTTGTTTTATCCTGGTTTCTATTAATTACAATGGGCCAAAAAAAACTTTTTGTCTTGTACTCAAATTAATAAAGCTATAGTAGACTAAATCCTGTACACTAAGTCTAAACCTGTACTAAGAATTGTCCTAGCATACTCATGTTCAAGTTAAATAGAATATTACTACTGTATATAGTATACTGATAAATAATATATTTATTTTCAAGAAAACTTCAGTCATATGCATATTGCAATATCCTTGTATGCTACAACCATTCTGAATAGAGATTAAGAATTTTCATATTCATATTAGTCCAAAGCCCTTTTACTCTAGTAGCAAAACTTTTGTTGCCCAGTGTTATTTCATCATTGCATGAATTATTTTGAACTTGGAGCTGCAATTCCTTTTTTAGTACAAATTGGTATACTAGTCTTTAGCAAAGTGGGAGGTGTCCTCCAAGATAATATAAATAAAAGATCTTTTCAGTCTAATGAAATTTGGTTGTGCTTTTAAAAACAAATATTCTTCCAGAACTTTCTACATTATTTGATTTCTAAAACAAGTTCATAATTTGCTTTAAGATAATTATGTGAAAACTATTGTTTTATGAATGTGAATTAATCTTAACTGAAATCTATGTAGTATCGGTTTCTTAAGTTTTTAATAGTACCTTTCCTAATAAACATTTTTATCTCTAAAGAAAATCCATACCATTCTTATTGAGCTCCTAAGACCATTTCGTTTTTTGTTTTTTTGGTAATATACAAAATGTAAACACTCTGAGACCAAGAAATGATCAGGTTAAAATACTAGTTTTCTCATACAACGAAACTTCTAGAACAATAAACTTTTAATGAATCTTTGAAATTTCTTCTCAAACTGGGAAGTACAATGACTTTCCTTAACAGCCAAAAGGATATTTTTCTACTACAAAAAATCAAGTTTGTTTTAGATCACCAGGAAAAAAATATTATTTTTCCTTCCAAAAATATTTTAATTGTGTATATTTTAAAAAAAAAAAAAAAAAAAAATTATTTCTCTACAAAAATTAATAACTGTAAATCTTTCCTTGATAGACTCCATATCAATCACTTGATGGCTGGAGAATTATTAAACAGATTACAATAAATTTGAAGCACAATAATTGCACTGTCTTGACTGATAAAAAAAAACTTATTGTTATGATGATAATTGTAGGCGTGAAGAGATTCTAAATGAAATGAGTGTGAAAGATAAAAAAAACTCATAACAGTATTTCATACCAACTCATTTTATTGTTAATATTTCATTTATCTTAAGTAATTGATATTATAAATTTGTCTTCATATGATTTTTTTTTAAACAACCATTGGAGAATCTGCCAGACACATGGGCCTCTTGGCTCACAAGAAGCAAAATACTAAGACTCAGACACGAATGAAAACCATCAAAGATGCTTATTTTGAATCTATGTGCATTGTTACTAGAAAATTTGGAGAATTTGTTGAAAATTTAATGTTTCTTTTTTTTTTTTCTTCTCAAATCTGGAAACATTTTCAGAAACTGGTTTCCACCATGTTTAAATACTCAAATTGGGTATTGATATGGTATGTATTTTTTCCTGCTCCTTTTTAAATTAAGGGTCAGTTGTTTGAGAATAAAAATCATGAAAAATCATCTTGTTACAAAATATATCAAGAGTTCCATTCATTTTTTATATCCACTATTCAACAATTCTCTTTTGGTGACATCCTGAAAGAGAAGTTTGAATTTTGAATAATACTAAATCTCTTTTAATATATAAATCTACTTATATTACTATTTAAAATTCAGAAATGAAATTTTATTGTTCTATAAATGAATTCAGTTGTTTGGGCTATTCTTTTATTTCCCTGAATCAAATTTTAGCTGAAGCTTTCTTCAGTTTTCCTTATATCTATGGTTCATCCAGTAAAAGGCGTTTCCTACTCAAGATAAATCTGTGTATGGGTGTTAGAAGATTCTGGCAAACAACATCAGTGTTTTTTTTTTTTTTCTTCCAGTGTCTAGTAAATTAACGCAGATGACTTGAGGAATAATCAGAATGACTTGTCTCAAACAATATGTACTTTTACCCTCTTCAGGAGGAAATGTCACATACTGAGATGTCTAAATTGATCCAATTGAGGAAGTCCCAAAATGCATTTGCACCAGTTTTCATCAAGGATATGTCATTCTCATTGCTTTACCTGAGGCATTTGGCATCCTTCTGATCTTGTAACTATCAACTCTTTCTAATGCTAACCTGTTTATTCCCAGAATCCATATATATTTCTACACTACTTACTCCAAAGACTGAACTCACCAAGAACCAGGTGAACTTCAATACCAATACCTTTATCCACTACGTTATGTCCCATAAGTCATTCAAGTAATTTTCCCTTTTTTTCAATGTGTGTGTGTTTTGAGCTGGAAACTCACATACAGTTTTTATATCTATTCTCAGTTTGCTATATCTATTTTAACTTTGTTTCATAGAAGTTATGTACACTTTTCTCTCTATACATGATCAGCTATACTTGATTTCAAAGTCTTATAGCAATTTCATGTCCCTCAAGCTTTATTTTTAGAAGGTGCCTGAAGTATGATGCTGTATCCTTCAATTGTAATTTCTGAGAAAATTGTTGTTACTATTACTAAATTATTTTTAAACCAATTTCCTCATTCTTTTGTCCTTATCATATTTTGGCTCCTCATTCTGGGAGCTCTTGGGTGACAGCATCAATTCGATAATAAAGTTGCATTCTTCTCTCGTGGTTGCCGATCACTAGCTGTTTTGAGTCCAGAGATAAAAGAACTTCAACATAGGGAATTTTAACTTAACTATTTTATTAACGTTCTTGTTAACATGTCCTATCAGGGAGGCGGGGTGATCCCCCTTTCACTGGGGAGCTGTCCCAGACACAAAAGAAAACATGTCTACATTGCTTAATGTATTACAACCAACTTCCTGAAACATTTCTCAATCTATCATACCCATGCTAATTCAGCCAATCAAAATCGACTCCTTATTTTGGCTTACATCTGACCTTGAAGGTCACCCTCCGGAAGTCACAGCTGATATACAATTCCCCTTAAAAATAATAGTCTGCTAAGCTATTATTTTGCATTTCTTTTATGTGCCATGTCCCTTCAGGACATAGGCAATCATAGCTCTCCACTTCCTCCTACTCATTGTAGTTCACAATATGTTTTGTCCTTTTGCTACTTCTCTCAGACACTGTTCTGCCATCCACTTGCTTAAGCCTGTTCAGTATGTCACACATTGTTTTCCCTTGTCTCTCTTTCCCTCTATACACCCTGTGAGTATCACATTCTTCAAGCCCTCCTTTCTCATTACATGTCACAGAAATTTCAGCTGCCTCTTCCTGATGTTAAGTATAAGCTTCCTCCTTGCTTGCATCCTCTTCAAAACCTCACCGTTGCTCACATGTTCAGTCCATGGCATCCTTAACATCCCTCTGTAGAACCATACCCCCATTGCCTCAAGTCTTTTCTTCATCTTTGAGGAAACCGTCCAATGTTCGCTACCTTAAAGGAGGACAGATATCACATAGCAATTCAGTACTCTTTTCTTTCTTACCAATGAAATTCTCCTGTCTCATAATACTCTGCCTAGCTTTTGGAATGCATCTTTGGCCATACCAATACGTCTCTGGATCTCAGCGTCGCACTTACCATATTCCGTCAGAACACTTCCCAGATATTTAAATTTCCGCACTTACTTGATTTTAGTGTCCCCAACCTGTAAATTGCATTTTGGGCTCATTTTTTTTTTTTTACTGATGACCATGCATTCTGTCTTCTTGGAGTTTATACTTAGTCCTTTTTTCTTACTCTCATTCGCTGCCGTCTGTAGGAGGTTTTGTAATTTCCTTCCCATGTTTGCTATCAGCACTGTGTCATCTGTATGTCTAATGTTGTTAAGATTGTGGCTGCCAATGATGAATCCTGGTAGGATTTCCAGTTCTCACAAAATTGCCTTGCTGTATGGACTGAATAAGTCTGGTGAAAAGATACATCCTTGCCTTATATCCCTTTCTATTTTTGTATATCTGCTGAATACATTCTCTATCTATATGCAGGCTGTTTGCTGCTAGTATAGATTCCTGATTATTCCAATATATTTCCCAAATATACAAAGGTTGCTGAGCAGTTCCAACAGATCTTTGTGGTGTACTTTGTCAAACACCTTTACGTAGTCTATAAAACATAGGTGCACATCCTTCTGCATTTGCATTGCTCTTTCTGATAACATTCTGAGCATGAATATCACATTCATTGTTCTGGTGTCTTTAATGAACCCACACTGTTCTTGTCCTATCTCTGGCCTGATTCTGCTGTGTGCTCTGTTCATCAGAATATGGATGATGAGTTTTGCTATGTGGCTCATTAGGCTGATTGTTCAATGGAGTTCATATTCAGTTGTGCCCTGTTTCTTAGCAGATCTACTTTCATAGCACTGCCTGAGATCTTCTGGAATATCCCTACTGTTGTAGATTTCATTGATTATTTCTGTAATCTTACTGATGCCAAAATCATCCAAAGCTGTCAGCATTTCTGTTATGATTTTGTCTAGCCCTACAAATAACAGAATATGAAACCTAATGGCATGAAGGAGTTTAAGTCGATGGGAATTAACTCCTTGCCTGGTAAGGGCCAACATGTGCAGCAGGTGTCACCTGACCATCATCCAGTGGCTGCTAACACAAACAACATAAAGGGGATAAAATTCCTCAGAACCTATCCCTCACCCAGAAAGGTGCAATATGAGTGACAGGTGTCACTGGACTGTTATCCAGTGGCTGCTCGCATCAAACAAAAAATAACTCTTGGGACAGCGGACATTGAACAACTGTGGCCAGTTAGATAATGTAAAACAGCAGATGAGTAGGCTAAAAATCAACATCTTAGGTGTATGCAAAACTAGATGGCCAAACAATGGAGATTTCGTCAGTGACAATCACAGAGAGAAAATCAATAAAGGAGTAGGATTGATCCTAGATCAAGAATTCAAGAAATGCATCCTGGGATACTACCAATTATCCCAAAGAATTCTGGTAGTCAAGCTGAAAAGAAAACCTTTCAATGTAGCTATCATAATAGTGTATGCACTGACAGCACAAAGTAAGGAAGAAATCAAATCTTTCTACTCCATGCTAGACAGCGCCAAGACTCATTGCAAATCACAAGAAGTCATGATTATCATGGGAGACCTGAACGCCAAAATAGTCAGGGGGAGGGTAGGAGAAAAAGCTGGAAAATTCATGGTTCCAAGAACATCTGAGATGGTTATGGACATGGAGGAGAAACTAAAAACCAAATTGACTACATAACTATCAACAAAAGATTCAGGAATGGAATGGTTCATTGCAAAATCTACCCAACTACAGAAGCAACTATCACCCGTTATATGTAAACTAAGAGTGAAACTAAAGAAACTGAAGAAGCCTAATTCAGCACCCAAATTGCAATAGAACAAACTCCTGAGCAACCTGTACCTGAATGAAAAATATATGGACAGTGTGAAAAGAAGATACAAGGTACACAATGGAAATAGAAACTTGAAATGGGATACACTAAGAGAAGCTTTATTGACATCAGCAAACGATATCATCCCAAAGGAGAATGGACGAAGAAGAAAAAACGAGTGGATGACTGATGAGGTTCTTGACTTGATGCAAAGGAGACAGAAAATGGAATACAAAAAACTATACAATAAAAAAAAGACTGGCTAAAAGAGTGGCTAAACAAAAAATGTACAGAAACAGAGAGATTGAGTACCACTAACAAAAGAGTAATGTATAAACAAATAAGTGAACTAACAGGACAGACATGCTTGTCAACAGGCTGCATAAAATCAAAGGATGGAACACTCATATTAGAGAAGGGGAAAAATTCTTTAGCATTGGAATGAGTATATTAGAACTCTTCCATGACAAAAGAGAACAACTGGCAATACACAGAACTACTAACTGGCCTGAAATTCTAAAAACCGAAGTAGAAGCTGCACTGGCGAAACTGAATTATTTAACACCTAAGAAGGTCAAATCAAACCTTTCATTTGATCTATAGAATATGTCAATCTCATTTCTTTAGTAATTTCAGAAATTATGACTGTCAATGTATTTATGATGTTAATCTGCATCTGATTGGATTTGGGTATATTTCTGTATTACCTGATACCCAAGGATTTAACTTGTTTTTTCTTATCTTCCATCATTTATTTTTTTTAGATAAGACCCAAAGCTTATTGAGATATCACTGATGTTAACAGTGGGAGCTTTTCAACAGAAGTGCTATAGATATTATTACTGAATAATGCTGTGGCTGGCAGCAGTTACCTCCCCTTTCCAAATTTTCACTTGGGACTATTTTTTTTGCACACATTTCTTTTGCTTACTGATAAGGTTCTTTCTCTAGATAAAGGATCCTGCCCACATAAATTTTGATTAATGAGACTTATCTACCTAGCCTCAAACATTGCAATCTCCTGTTTAATGTGCCCTTCACTGTGAGCAGAGAGTTTTGCAGCTTTTAAGCCTTAGGTAAAAGAATGAAACAAAAATGAGAAAGAGGCTTTCATCTACAAGTCCTAGCCACGAGCCAGAGTAGTTTGACAACAATATTAGCTCAAGCCTCAGGAAGTCTCCACTCCCAGGCAACCTTGACCCAGGGTGGTAGCACATGTTAGGGTCCCAGCTATGGGCAAATAGAGAACCCCAAACAAAAATGAAACCCTATGAAAGAATAGAAATACATTTTATACTAGAGATACCAAGAATACATTTTTATATAAAAAGTATTACCAATAATACATATTTGTAGTGATGTGACACCATTCAATGGAAAGGTGCTAGTAAATTGAAAAACATTAATTTCTGATAGACTGAAGATATACTGATGACCAGATGAGGGAAAATGAAAGTAAAGAATATTTGTTTATTTATTAGAAAAAAAACTAGAAGGTAATTAAATTTCTTGTCTGCCAGAGAGGTAAAACAAAGAGACCATCTGGTTTCGGTTAGAACTGAGAGATCCAAGGATCTCTCGGAAAGAAATATATTTATGACCATTGAGTGACAGAGAGGAAGATAGACCTCTGGCTGCGAGTTTGATCAATTGATAAGCATTAACTTTTAAAAGCAGACAGGTTTCCAGCAGAAAATAGATAAGAGAATAATAATTAAATTTTTCGTCTGTTGAAACACGATAAAACTTCCTAAATAAAGGGATTGTTCTCTTTTTGTCACTTGTTGGCCAAAGGGTTGATGAGGAGATAAGAAAATGATAAATCCCAGATGTGAAAATGACATGCACTGCAAGAAAGAATTTTGAATGATAATTAAAATTTCCCCATTTGGGCTAGACCATGCCTAGCCTTGGGGGACGGGTTTGGTCAGATGACCAAGGAGGAAGGAGCCCAGGTGGAATTTCAAGGAAGGCAGAGGACTTTCCATGCCTCTTGGGCAGTGATGGTGACAGGTACTCATACAAAGGAAGGAGACGGGTTTGATCAGGTGACCAAAAGTAGGAGAAGGTACAGGTAGAATTCCAAGGAGGGAGGTAGGGCACCCCCATATTTGAAAATTTGCAGGGAGAACCTTGATTTGGGGAACACTGGCATACCCAGAGCATAGATGGTGGAGACGATACTGAACTGAGAGAGGAGCACCACCGCTTCGCCTGATCTCGTGATTTGCTGCCCTGAAGAAAAAGCCTCTGACTTCACGTCTTGTTCTAGAAGTTTTGTTCCAAAATCATAACAGTGTGTCACAATAATCAGGAAGGGTTGATAGTTATTGCATGGAGAGTATAGGCCTGCTTAAGCCATCAACAATTGCATCATCAACCTTGTATCAAGGAATTGCATATAAATATTTCTTTTTCTTTTATCCAATTTTTTTTTTCTTCTTTCGTGTGACTTTACTCTGACCGGACCAAACTAAGTCATCAATTCCAATCAGCCATTTGGATCAAGCCAGTCTTGTGATCAATTGATACATTGGGTGAGACAAGACTTGGGCCAAAGCAATCAACTCTACGATCATCTGACGAGATTGAACTTGAATACGGAGTGGTTGGGGTAAAGATCATAGTGAAATTACCACCAATACCTATTTGTCATAGAATTACCAACAATACATGTTTTCTGTAGTTGAAGGTATACAGTTGTGTTTATAATATTTAGATTTCAGCATTAAATAACCTGTAGTGATTGATATGCCACTAAACAGGATCAAACCCACCCACTGGCAGTAATTCTCCATCAGTAGGGTGCTGGCGGTCATTATCCCAGGTGTCCCCAAAAGAGGAAGTGCAGAAGGGTCTTGAGCAATTTTAGAATAGCTTCTTACATTAAACCTTGGCCTTGTAAAATACATTCTGTTATGACATGGGTGCACATATAAATACCTACAAAAGTTGGGGATGTGCTGAAAAGTTCTCAACCTGAACCCGAGAAGCCCTTACAAAAAAATTTGAAATTTGTTCAGATTTTGCGAAGAGAGTTCAACAGAACTTTTCATTACTTATTCAGAATAATAATTTGGTGTATAAATATGAAACAAGATCTTTTGTTGCTATAGGAAAATTCATTAATTTAGATATCAAAGTTCATGTTTCTTTCATCCTTTCTTCCTCAGGTGCCACGCATGATACACATTTGGGTGAACATGTCTCTTTTTCGATTCATGATTAACTTGGAATAATTTCTACACTAGGCTGCTGTTACTTTCTGCAATAGACTGGTTGCCAACTAAGGCTCAAGGACCCATTTTGTCTTGCTGCTTAACCCATATCTGGGGGAGAAGTGATGGATTCATACCTTTCCCAAGGTTATTTGTGTGTAAGTGAATAACAAAATCGATTGGAATTAAACTGCTTTCTGATCTCTCTTTCTGAGCCATTATCTATCACACCACCCACATATCCATGTTTTCAAATAACTGATCAAAACTTGGCCCAGTGAACAAAAGCTTTTCCTGGATCAACAGAAATTTATTAATTATCAAAGAATTCTTCTTTGTCTACTAAGTAAAAAAAATATAAATAATAGATATGTGAGTACTTTTTCATTATCATTAGGCCTCTCATGTACATTATGTAATTGCACAGGTTTAGAATTAACCAAGAATGAAGGAAACTTTCCTTTTCTTCATCTAGTAATTAAATCTTATTTCATATTTACTTTATATAAATACAAAGTATACTGGGGTATAAAAATTAAGGAAAAAGAGGGCAAATAACTTACCACCAGTGCCAAACTTACCTATAACCTTAGGAGGCTGAAGCCTATGGCCTCAAAATCTAGGAGGCCTCCAGCCAAGGTATATAACATTTTTGACACTGTCATAGGCCTTTCTTACACATGTTGTCATAATGCATTGTAAACTAAATAACCCTTCCATAATTTTAAACACTCATCAAATTGTTTAACACTCTTCCATTTTCCTCTACTCATGAGAATGGGAGATTTAGAGGAGCCTCACAAGTGGAATAGCTTAGGGCCTCTCTTCATCTAAATCTGTCCCTGCTTACCTTCCTAAAGAAGGCAATACAATTCCAAAATGGCCTCTCAATTAACAAGAAGAAATAAACTCATGGAGTAATATACTTGTGTGGAAGAATTTTATTGGCCGATGGCAGAATAGTCGAAAAAAACTGTTGAAGCAAGCCTTGCCAAAGAATATGTAGTACACAAACACTTAGATGAGAGCTTGTACTTGTTCGACACAAGGTTTACCTGGCAGAAAAACTCTGATGTTTAAAAACACAAAACATTTAATGAAACCAGGAAAACATCACTGACGACTCATCTCAGATCATTGGAAGAATATATGTTGTAACTCTACATGATTGTAAGTTGTTTTGAAAATGGTAATCATAAATATGAGTGGCCTAGAGATAAAGAAGTACCATTGAATGTCACAATTTTGTTCAAATCGAGCCATTTAAAAGAATTTGGATTGTGGGCATTGAGGAAAATGACTGCACAGGTGGGACATGTTGGTGGAATTTTGATGTTGACAACAGTGGTTGAATGAGCATTCCTACACCTTTATACCAAGTTTTGGACAGTCATATAGTAAAGACATTTGCCAAAACTGACATATTATAAAAACAGCAGTGGCAGACTGCATGACATCTACAACATGGATTGGAGGATATGTGGTCCTCGGAGTCTAAACATTAACAATCTTTTACTTACAGCAGAACTACAGACACATTCATTGAGTCAGACTCCCATTTACATCAAAATACAGTTATGGACATTTCCAATGGCATCATGAGAGGATCACCTGCAGGATCAAATGGCACTCTAGTGTTCAGTGATGAGAGCAGATTTTGCTATTATGCAAGAAACTGTATGTGCAATGTAGACTTGAGGAGCATTGTCTTCCAAAGTGTATTCCCCCAAGATGCACAGGCCCAACCACTGGCATCATGGTCTGGGATAGCATAAATTACAACTCCCACTAGTCTTTAGTATTTAGCAAGTTCACCCCTAGCAAGGGAGTACAGCCACTAATACACAAGAGGTCACAGGGTATGGAAGAATTAGAAAAAAGCAACATGTCAGGCTGAGAAGATTAGCCCAAGAGAACTCAACGAGTCACTTTCCTGGAGGTTAGCATCAGCCATGCAGATGGAAGGCAGAAAAGGGTCTCTCAGATGATTAATATGATTTAAAATAAATATATGTTCAGAACATTGTTCTACTCATACTATTCCAACAACAAGGCAGTCAAAAGAACTTTTCCACTTTGTCATCAATTTTCCTAATTTTATATATATATGTGTGTGTATATATATATATATATATATATATATATATATATATATAGAGAAAGAGGTAGAAGAGGAATACACAGCACCTTTTTTGTTCAAAATACTTTTAAAATGATTATACATCAGGAGACCAAATGTTATGCTGACCCTGATATTTGTGTCTCTGTGAAAACAGGGCGAGTAAAAGTTGGTTAATCAGGATGTCAGTTAGAAGTGGGTAGACACATCATTTGGGTCAGACATTCATCAGGGGATGGGTGACAGCAGCAGCAGTTGAGTTGGAATAAAATACTCAGTAATTATAAACTTTCCTTTCTTTCAGAAGAATAAAAAATAACTTATACAATGCTGAAGCTTTTTTCCAAGAAATATCTTTTAATGCATACAGACAACACTCTCATAACTTCCATCTGTCAAGACTGACAATGGACAAAGTATCCATTTTGCTGCTCATGCCTGGCCATATAATTATGAAAGAATATATGGTCCATGTCGTCATTTACCAACTCTTTCATCACTCTATTAACTATATCTGGCAAAACTTGTGTCAAAATTATTTACACTATTTACATTCAGACTATTGTCCTCATCTTTGTTGTCATTACGTTTTAGCCATTGTGTCATCCTGAAATGAGGAGTTATTACTTACACTATTTAGAGGGTAAAATAGCTAAAATGTGATGACACTAAAGATGAGGAAAATAGTTTGAATATAAATTGTGTAAATAGTAACTCCTTTCAGAAATTTAAACAGAAATTGTGTCAAGATGATTAATAATTGTGCAAGGGGTATCTTGTTCATACCTTTTCCAAAGGAATTACTGAAGAAATGACTTAAGTAGTATTCTGTAAATATCACTTACTACAGAAGAATGAATGTATAGATTTGTTAAGATTTGTCTGACTTGAGGTCACATTACTGAGACACTCAGTGAGGATCAAATTCTACAACAGACACCTTATGAAAAAGGGAAGTTTATAATTTTACCTGTTTTTTTTGTTTATAAAAAGGGATGATTTCACAAATTTTGGGCTTGTGATGAATGCACATTACATGCAAATTACAAATTGAACAATTTAAATATGTTTCAACAGAGGATGGAAAGTGAAAACAGAAAAATTTTGTTAGACACAAAGAGTACTGAACTGTTATGTAATATCAGTCATCCTATGTGGCAGTGAACAATCTCCTCACAGATGAAAAAGAGACTTGAAGTAACAGAAATGCGGTTCTACAGAAGTTAGCTGCGAATACCATGGACTGAACATGTGAGCAATTTTTCTGTTTCTTAATACTTTGCTTAATTTTTGGAAGGCATCTTTCACTATCTCAATGTTCCTTCAGATTTCAGTGTCGCACTTTCCATCCTCTGTTGAAACAGATACTTATTTTTGGCTTGTGATGAATGCACATTAGATGCAAATTACAAATTGAAAATGCCAAAATTAAACATCTATAACAATTTAAAAATCTGTTTCAGCAGATGATGGAAAGTATGAAACTGAAATCCGAAAGATTAGTGAAAGATGCCTTCTAAAAGTTATGAAAGTATTAAGAAACAGAAAAATTTCGTTAGACACAAAGAATACTCAACTGTTACGTAATATTAGTGATTACTGGACAATCTCCTCACAGATGAAAAAGAGACTTGAAGCAACAGAAGGATGCTGAGAATACCATGGACTGAACATGTGAGCAATGAGAAAGTTTTATAGAAAATGGAAACAAAAAGGTCACTTACACTTATACAGGAAAAGATAGTTGAAATTTCTAGGATTTATAATGAGGAAAGAGAGCTTGGAAAATTTGATATTCACAAGAAAGATTGAGGGCATGAGGGACAGAGGAAAACAATGCATAACCTACTTAGTGAGCTTGAGTAAGTTGATGGTGGAACAAGGTTTAGGAGAAATAACAAAAAGACAAAATTTATTAAGAGCTACAAAGGAGAGGAAATTGTGTGGAGCTATGATTGTCAATGTCTTGTAGGCAGACAGCACATACGAGATAAATGCACTATCTATATTTTTTTTTAATTTGTACTAATTTAAAATTAACATTTTTTTATCATTAGTTTTATTCCATTTTATTATTGTCATTTCTTATCACAACACTCCTCATCAATGCACACTTAAACATTACTATAATTTTAGCCGAATTCAGTCAGTACAGTTTGTGTTAATTTTCAGGTCACTGAAAAATTTGTTTCTTCCTGATTTTTAATACACAGCATACAGACTGGGTGCTGAAACTGAGAAAAACAAACTTTAGGTAAAAAAATCATCAAATAATGTTACATGTTCAAGACCACAACTTTAAGGTGTTCAGTCCTCACTTGTGCACACTAAACTTACCATAGTATAACAGCAAGCAAATTTCACAGATCATTTTTTTTATACTGTTAGTTCACCTAATACAAGGGCCACTCAAGGTAGACAGTTACTGAGTAAGATTGTAAGGGAGGAGGAAGTAAGGGAGTATTATGAGGATGAGTAGGACAGATATCAGTTGACCCTGGACTTAAGAGACCAAGATTGCGATTGTCAGGGAAGCATTCACTCAGGAGTTTGTTTCACAAAGTAAAAATTCTGGGGAAGAAGCTGTCTGGGTGGAACTTGCTTTTCGTGAAAAGAACATGATGGTAATGGGGATGGTTTGCCATCGTAAATATGGCATAACAGGTCCTAGTGGTGAATGTCTGAACTGGTGGAACTAAGGAATGTAACTCACTCAAACATCTGCCATAGTAACCAGTCAGTTATGTGCCATGTGTGATACACGCTTAGACGATTATGTACTTTTTGATACATGACTGATGAGGCAGATTTTTTCCTGCAGTAGTTTGCCATTTCTTTCTGCAGTAGACCAGTTGTCATCCAAGGCTATAGAACCTGATCTGTCCTGCTATTTATCCATAGCTGGGGGGAGAATAATAGAATTCATACCTTTCCAAAAGGTATTAGCATCTCAGTGACAAACTCAATCTTCAATTATAACCTGGATTAAGAGCAAATTTAAACTCAACAATTGGAGTCTCGAACTGATCAGCATGTGCCGGTTAAGAATTGTCAGGACATGTGCGATAATTTGCATAAGTTGGTGAACACATCAGGTTCAGCAATTGCTGAAGATTTAATAAATACTCCGGGTTGTGCAATGTCATTTACTTAGGATTTCTTTACAATAATCACACTTTGATTGATTTAAAAATTTTAAAAACAATATATATTGGGACCAAGATGCCTACTCTCTGTAAACAAAATGTTTGGCCTTAGTGTGATAAGAATATGTTAATTTTTTTTTCTTCTTGCTGATTCCCTGGTTGTTCTTAGTTTATAAACTTTATTCTATTGTTTAAATATTGCACATTTATACATACTTGGCTTCAAGAGGCTCTGAGGAGCAAGTATTGAAACAGGTTAGCTGTTTTTGTTATATTTCTCCCCCCCCACCTTATTGATGAACTTTTTTTCTCTTCACCTCTTTATGGTTTTATTTTATCCTTACTCTTTCCTCCTTTGTTTATATTTTTTACATTTGTTATTTTATATTATTTTTACACATATTTTACATTTTTTACCACTCACATATACATATATATTACACACACACACACATCTTTCATTAATTACAGATACACCACACAGTCACTTTATTGGGAATACTCCTATAGTACCAGATTGCACTTCTATTTTTTAAAAGAATCATCTCAATTCTTTTTGGCATTGATTTAATAATATTCTGAAAGCACTCTTTTAAAATGTAGGTCCATACTGTTAATATGGCCTCCTGCAATTCTTGTAGATCCACATCCAGGATTTGAATCTCCCTTTCCACCTCATCCTAAAGGTGCTCTATGGGCTAAAGATTCTGCTGTGGAGGCCACTTTAACACAGAAAACTTATTGCTGTGTTTCAGGAACCACTCTTCTACTTTGTGACACAGCATTTTCCTGATGGAAGTGACCATCATAAGATGGGAACACTGTAGGCATGTTGTCAGCCACAATACCTATGTAGGCTGAAGCATTTAAACAATTCAATGATTTTCACAAAATACTTCCAAGAGTTAGGTCCATGTCATTATTATTGCATCTCACAATTCTTGTAGATTGGTTGGCTGTACATCCAGGATTCTAATCTCCTTGTCCACCACTCTGTGGGATTGAGTTCCAGTGATTGTGAAAGTTACTTTAACAAGGAAAACACATTGCTGTCTTCCACAAAAATAATCTGCCAATATTTTTGATTTGTGAGATGGTGAGTTCTTCCACTGGAAGTAGGCAGCAAAAGATGGGTGCACCATAGTTGTAAATTGAGATATGCAATCAGCCAAAAAAATTCTGTGGCATTTAAATAATCTTTTATTGATACCAATATATGCCAAGTAAATATTCTCTCTGCCATTACTACCCTGAACTGTTGATACAAGGTAGGATGGATCCTTACTTTCATGTTTGAACCGAATTCTGGTCCTGATGTCACAGCAGAAATCGAGACTCGTCAATCCAGACAATATTTTTCCAATCTTTTGTTGTTCAATTTTTGTGATCCCTAATGAATTGTGACCTCAGTTTCTTATTCTTATCTGAAAGGAGTGCTACTAGGTTCATTCCTCTGCTGCTGTTGTCCAACTTCCTCTAAGTTTGACACATTCTGTGTTCAGAGATGCTTTTCTGTATAGCTTCCTTTGATAAAGATTAGTTTATTAAAATACTGCAAAATCTTAAACATTGCATTGTGAATAGCTTTTCACCTTCATGCATTCAGAAGGGAGTGAAATGCAAAAGAGATTATAATCAGTTTCATGACTATTTCCTTCTTTTCAGCTTATTTTTGTTGTTTCCGCAACATTTTTTTCTTTTAAATTACAACATAGTTCTATTTACATTTTACAATTGTTAAACAAACCAATGGCTCCAAAGGATTGGGGATTCAAGTTAGCATCTCCTTGAAAGCTAAATCTTCATTTCCAATCAGTGCTGTTTGCTTAACTTTGAGCATTGTGATAACAAAAAAAGAGAAACATAATAAAATTAAATGAGGAACTAGTAAAAGAATATACATACATATATAATAATAATAATGACAAGAAATTAATAAAATAAATATTTTATTTGAAACTTTAACAAAAGAATTCATGCATTTTTATTTATGAACTGTTCAGCAAAAAAAACAAAAAAACCTTATTACCATTGGTTAAACATTCACACATTATCAGCTGAAAAGTAACAGACTTTCTAGAAAACCCATGTCTAATGAACCAATAAAAATTACTATATTTATTGAATTCAACAATAAACCATAAAAACAAGCTTCTCAAACAAATCAGTCAATATTTAACTCTTTACCTTTAATCCAAAGGATTAGATAACAAGTTTTTAACCTGTTGAGCCCTGAGATCTGACCACTTGCCAATGATTAGCTTTGTCTTGGTAAACAGGTACTATAAATTAAAAATTTTTTAAATTCAATATTTATGCATATTTTAACTTATCAAATTATATATATATATATATATATATATATATATATAACCAGTTATTGTTTTTCTGCTTTATATCATATATTGATCTTTAGATAAACACATGATGTTTGTTGATTAATGTCTCTTTGACAAGATGCTGGCTTCTTTTATTTGGAGCTGGAAGTTTCTTGGTGGCAAGATAATGACATTTACATTTTTTCTAGATGTGTATTCCAAGTTCCACAATTTACAAAGCTTCTTTAAATTTGTTTATAGATGATTCTTACTTTGTTTCTTATTTTTCCAATGTATTTACCCCACTAATATGCACAGGTTTTTGCTCATTCTTTATTTTAAAAATTAAGTAAAAAAACTTGTTTGATCAGATCATTGATTAAAGAAAAGTGAGCATCAATTGGTTGAACATGAAGAGTCAATCATTGGTTCTTTTCAAAGAAAGTGATTAGTTCATTGGTCAATTTGCAAACTTTATTGTTCCAAACAAAATGAGTGGGCGGTTTTGATTCTCCATTTTCAAAATCAAAACCCTTGCTGAATTCTATAGCCAAGCTAGACTTAACAAGACCAATGCCACCATGTATTATACTGGCAGGATGATAGACACGACCTGTCTTGGGCAACATACAAAGTTTCTCTGGCTCAAAAGGGATTCGCAAATTTGCCTTGTAACCTCCATAATACAAATAGTCAGTGCTGTCATACTTATCCGTGATCAGTTCAGTGAAGACTATTGGTCTGTCATCGCAACGGATGTAGTTCCTTTCTCGACCACAGAGAGATAAATAAGGAAATTCTGGATACTTCTGAGTACTGTTGACACGTAATCTCTTGTAGAAGAATTCTAAAAATTTCTTTTCTGGAAAAAAGTAAATAAATAAAATTAGTCTTATTCTATAAGAAATGTTTGTAGTTGTCTATATATAAAATTCTGTAATTTCCATTAGTCCATCACACCCTCTAAAATAGCCATACATTGGCCGATTGAAACCAAATTTTGGGGAGAAATGCAAACAGTTAAGGGGGTACAAAGTACAGTTGGTTTTACTAGGGTGTGTAGTTTAGTACAATATTCATTAATTTTTTTTGAAAAATTAAAATTTTTATTGAACAAAACAGAGTTTGTAAATCTCAACAAAAAATGTTAGTAACTTCAATACTAAAATACTGTGAGGATTTCAATATGCATCAGTGTGTTGCAAAAAAATTCTAGTTCCTGAAAAATCCTTTTCTTTCTGATTTTTAATTTACAACATACAAACTGAAAACTTGCAAAAACAAATTTCACCATTAACACTCAATTAGTAGTAGTAAGGTCAAAGCATTAATACCGTGTGGTTTTCAAACACCTCATTTAAAATATATATATATATAATTTAGTTCTTTTTTTTGTTATATATTGTTTTGAGTGTTTGTTCTACTTCTTATAGAATTAAACAAAAATAGAAAAAAAAAGGTTTTATTTTGGAAAATTAAAGGCTAATATTAAGAAATGAATTTGTAAATTTCAAAAATTAAAATATGCAAAAAATAGGTTTTATTTCCAGTAAAAAAATAAAACTGGAATTCATACAAATATGATGATTAAAACCAGAAACTGCTTGACAGAGGTATTCAGAAAGCTGATCATTAAAATTTGACTTGTCACTTGCTAAATACTAAGGAAAAACATTTTGTAGAGTGTTTCAACACCCCAAATTACTAATGGCAAGTTAAACAGTAATGTTACAATGGTGGTTTTCATTCATTCAATGTGCTATAAATAACCTTCATTTTTTCACACCTAAACCTAACACTCAACAAGAATGTATTATAAGAAGCTAGACAATCTTGTGAACCACTTCTCAACAGTCAGGTGTGCTAATTGATGTTTAATTAGCTTAGTTTTGAACAGCACTAAAACCATAAATGTGATGGACATTGTAAGAATTAAACTTACATTAACAGTTTGCTTACTCTACAGTAGGAACCTTTACAGTTGATTGGAACTTGTGGATCTTGCTTCATAAGGTTTATGGCCAAATCACATTGAAACACCGATTCTTGTACGATTATTGAATTTAAGCAACATCAAGCCTGGTCAGTACCTAGATGGATGAGCACATAGGAATAACAGGTACTGTGAGCTTGGATGCGTGGGTGGTGTAATGGATAATGACAGCGTTGGAAATTGATGAGCAGAGTTCTAATTCCACTCAGATTTGTTATATTCACTTATGCACAAAAGGAAAGGGTATAAACCCACTTCTTTTCTCCCAGTTATGGTTTAATTAGTGGAACTTGTAACAGTATATCATTATTATCTCCAAAAAATATTTTCTGACCTTAAATAACCTGTAAAAGGTTTCAAAAGGACTGTTATCCTCATCTTCATTGCCATATTCACAACATTTTGGCTGTTGTATGCTCCAACCTTCTTCAGGATTGGAATTTTGAACCAAATCATTTATTTCATCCACTGGTGTAGATTGTTCTAGTTCCACGTCCCCTGACTCTTCCAGATGTCCCAGTTATTTCCCTTTAAATCAACTCTCCAAGTTTTTTGGTTCACCACTGCTGTAGCCTGGTATTGAACTCACAACTCTTTGGGTCTAGTCACTGGATCTAACCAATGCATTTATCCACTGGGCCAAGGATAAATAAATCTAGTTCAATACCAGGCTACAGCAGTGGTAAACAAAAAAACTTGGAGAGTTGAGTTAAAGGAAAATAACCAAGACATCCAGAGGCATGGCACATGGAACTAGAACATTCTACCCCAGTGGGTGAAATGAAGGGTTAAGTTCGAAATTCCAATCACCTGAAGAAGGCTGGAGCATACAATAGTTGAAACGTTGTGAATATGGCAAGATGAAGATGAGGATAACAGTCCAAATAATGTAAATACTGCAAAAGGTTGATAAGCAGTAAAAAACAAATCAATATTGCTTCCTAAATGGGCATGGAAAGGGTATGTAGCATGCAATTCATTACACCTGTGTCCTTGACTGCTGCAGCTGGTTGTAAAAAGTTACAAGCATAGCCTATCACTTAGGGCAGTATAATTCTAGATAGACATAATTTGGGCATCATGAAAGGTTAGATGAAAACTAATAGTACCTATCAGGAATTTACAGAGACTACATCTTTCCATCCAACAAACAAAGCTTTCACTTCAGGATTTTAAGACACAATATGTTTACTGTTTCCTCTCTGCTGTTATATCAATTAAGTTTATTTTTTAATACATTAACAAATCGTGTTTCAGTGTAAGATTGGTAGCAGAAAAATGAAATCATCAAACTGTTTGAATTCTGGCTGAAACTATTTTAAACCTAATTACTTTAGCAAAAGCATGAATCCACTTCTCCCTGTTCTTTATCTCTTTACTGTATATTTTGACAAAATTCCTTGTCACTAGCATGCTATGTCTACACTTTCCAGTCTTGATAGAATTATTTTCCATTCTACAACCCGTTTCTCTCACAGGTGAAATGTTACAAACCTCTCGCTGCTCTATTGCTATTTTCATGAAAAGTGTTAAGACAAACTACATTCCTTAGTTCTATCAGTTCTAATCTTTATGACTAAAACCTGCCAAGCCACACACATTGTAGCAAACTACCCTCATACTGTTTGTATTCCATATATTCTTCCACAAGACTAGAAGAATAGGACACTCAGTGAGAAATGAACTCACAACAGTATTAATTGTCTGTTTGATTAACTTACGAACCACTGTATCAAAGCAAAATTCCCAATTACTAAGCTTAGCTTATTAAAGCCAAAGGTTACAAGTGTCAGATACCCAGTGAGGACTGAACTCATGAAAGCAGTCATTGCCTTTGATTAACTTTCTAACTAATACTTCAAGCCAAGGCACCTGAAATCTACTTGTTCCCAATGCAAATTTCCTAATGAGTAGACACCTGAATTAATATAAGTACATTTAAGAGAGAAAAAAAAACACTAAGAAAGTAAATTGTAACACTTGCTGTTGCTTTGCCAGAAGAACAAGATTTGCTTGTTCATTCTGAGCTTCTTTATTTGGCTCAATATCGTGTTGTAAATGGCTGAAAAAAAAAAAAAAAAAAAAAAAAAAAAAAATATATGGTAGATGGAAGCTATTTTGTTAAGCATTTTTTTTTTTCAGCAGTATTTGCTTTCCTGGGCTTTGAATTTTGCCCAAAGTTATGCAGAAATTCTACAATTAACAAGAAATGGAGATGAAATTTGAATAAAAAATATATAAATATGATACCTTAAATACATAATATCTTCCAGTTGATACACCTATTCAATGTGTAATTAATAGAGAGAAGTGACTTTATAGGCCACATGTTAAGAAATAAAGTTACATCTCTCAGATATTAACTCATCTAGCACACCAGGATATAAAAATGTTAAAACCAGAATAAGCATATAAAAATAAGAAAATTAACATAAAATATTTTTCTTTGCCTATGTGATCATTTTGTAGATAGCAATGTACCATAAAACTTCATTTATAATTCTTGTAATCAGTCAGATTTACTATTATGAAAACAGCTACAAGTCTTTGCTTCTTAGACTTAAAGAGAAATAAACCAAGGTTGAGGAGCATAAAATGTGAGCAGAATTGACAATAACAGCCCTAAAAAACAAAAAGGCACTCCAACAAGCACCACAATCTACACAGAGATTACTATCTTTTGAATTCATAGCCTACATAGCATAAGGAAATTCAAAGAATACCTCACAATGTGAAAAGAAAAGATAATGATAATTGGGAAAGTAATTGCTACCAAATCATGTGAAATATTCTATATTTCTACAATAAAGAAAGAAAAAAAAGCTTAGAGCTTGTAGTGTTTTTGAAAAGTCAAGAATGAAACTGGTATGTGCCCTTCTCTAACCAGCCTCAGGTCTTTTCTTTAGGAAATGACTGGAGGTGGAGAAGTAAAGAAACTTATTTTTTTTTATGTCTTTTTCTTATGTTACACTGAGAGAGGAATAAGTCCAGATATGAAGCTGAATACTATTTGGCAGCCACGACAGACAAGATATGTACAAAAGATAATTATATCACTGTTAGCATAAGTAAACATCTAATATTGGAATTCTACACACACTCACACACACATACATACATATACTGATATTAAGAAGGATATATTAATTTAGTGAAGCATTTGTATCGTGACATGTACAAAAATTTCACAACAAATTTTCCTCTGCTCATAAATCCTAACTGATGTAATCTAAAGATAAAATTGTTATTAATATCCATTCTCAGGAATATTATCTAGAATTTTGTTCAAGGCAAATATAGTATGCATGTAATGTGTTAATTACCTGGAAGAAGGAAGATTAATTTTCCCATAAAATGAAAACTCTTTGATATTCTGTAATATTTTCATAAATATGACAAAAGACACCAATAAAAAGTTTGTCAAAGACTTTAACACCTAATTTTATATATATATGTGTGTGTGTGTGTGCGAGATTTCCTTCATAATTTATGGAGCTTATATTAAATTTCCCATTTACAAAAACTTCTCATTAAGATGCTGCAATTACACACCAATAATATAGTCCCAGATATTGTAGACTTAAATATTTTAATTAGAGGACTGTTGATAAGATTCTGAAATAAACTTTAGTTCCTTCCCTGGAAATAGGAACATTTTATTTAAATTTGTTTTTTTTTTCTTTTTCAAGATAGACATTTTACTTCCCCTTCAGTGAAAAAAGATACAACAACCATTTTTGTCCATTTAATTAGATTTCAGAAAATAAATCCTTACATGAGAAATAAAACTTCTTATTTTTTTAAAATCATACTGGAATAGATAATATGAATACTTGATTTTGTCTTTTTTTAAATTATGAAACATTAACTACTTTAAATTTTATGAAATTATACAAATTTTTTATCTGAAAATATTAAATAATTGTTTGTACAATTTGTTTTAGTTTTATATTATTTATCAAAATTTGACATTGGAAATTTCAAAATATATATATATATATATATATATATATATATATATGAAAATATATAGAAAATAGGAAGGAACTGGTTAGGTAAATAATCCAAAGTCCCTTAGTATTTTAGTTATTATTTTTAAAAAATAGTGCTCGATACAAAAGTAGAGCATAAATATAATTATTTATTTAAAAATATGATTCCAAATCGCTACATAAGAGGTCTCATGTTTCAAAACAAGAGCCGAAAACTTCAATATAATCCTTTAAATTAAATTGAGTTGAAAGTAAAAAGGGCTCCGTTCCATCTTCAAGCGAAATTTTATATATATATATATATATATATATATATACTCACACACATACATACATACATACACACACACACACACACACACACACACACACACACACATTTTTTTATTTTACATAATTTATCCACAAAACCACTTTTCCTCATCTCATCAAAAGACAAATTTTTCCAAGATCATTTTTGATGGAATCCTCACTCAAGGAAGAATTTAATGAAAACCTGCAGATTTCAATTCTGCAAAGAGCAGAGAATGTCAGTGTGAAGAACTCATTTAAAACTCATCTTAAAATCCATTACATCTACAAAGAATAGTTAAAATATTTCAAGTGCAATAATAAAAGAATTAAGTCAAGCTTTTCAATATTATTATATATCACTATTCACTATCAATATCCTTTCTTTAATTATTTCAAATGTACAATGTCCTTCACTCTTCAGCTGTATTGGGTTAAGCAATTACAAGACACCTATCATGGAACAAGCTCATCTCACATACTAATTTGATGATATAGAGGACTTGATCCTCACTGTGTTGCTTCTCTGTTGTGATCTTGTGCCAGACTAAGCTAAGGGATGCCTACTGGAGCTCAATCATTAGCAAATAAGTCTTGCAGACCAATTCACTAATTCGACTTTGTGTGAACTAAAATCAATCACAGTAAATAACTAGAAAAGTTTTAGGAATAACTGTAAAATTTTATTAGTAATTGGTATATAAATATAAACTGCTTGTAAGGAAGAATGGAGAGACAGCTTTAAGTTAACAATGAAATCTATAAGGAAAGACAATGCTTTCTAATTTAGAATGAAAATTATTAAAACTTACCTTTAAAACATGAAGTGAAGTTTTTGATTTTTGCATCATCCAGAAACAGCTGCAAAAAAAATAATACAAAAACATATTCCAATGATTACCATTTTTTTATAATATATAATTAGAGAATTTTTAATTATATTAACAAAAGAAGGCAATTCATTTGTATTAATTAATTCAATCAAAGGCTGCAACAGATAACCTTTAAAATCATATTTCATGAGTTGTCTGCATTTCGTTGATAATATAAAGCTGTTTTTTTATCCAAGTCTTTTACAGAATACAAAGCAGTTGGTTGGCCCCATAATCTGAAAGTCATTGGAAGGGAAGGATGTCTGTGCCGTACTTTTTTTCTTTACAGCAAAGTGAATTATTTGGTGATATCTATTTTCTCTTCAAGTATCATGTGACAGACGTCACAAAGGTAAACAGCAGCAAAACAGAATTCCTGATTGGGCTCCCTTCTTCAAAAAATCATGGCATTCCAGTCATGAGACCTTAATTATAATATCTCGTGAGGAGACAGTGCAAATGAAGTGAACACAAGCAGCCCCAGAATTTGAAATTCTTTCACAGATTTAGTTTTCCATGCTGTTAAGTGTCATATCATTTTACATCTCAATTTTTATCCAACAGGTAAAGAGTTAACATGAAAACTGTTTCTTTAAAACATAAACACACAGATAAAGTTTATTTCAATTTGATTGACGTGTCTGGGCTAATAAATAAATTATGAAATTTTATAAAATAACAACGTAATTCATGATTTTTTTTTTGTTTAATCATTTCACCCCAAGCAAGGTGACAATCCCACTAGACTACAGGGGGGGGGGGTTACAAAATGAAAGAGAATGAGAAGATTAAGAATGGGGAAACAACAAAAAAAGGAACAGGGATAGTGATTGATGTTGCATTTAAATTTTTGAAGATTGTAATTATCAGGGAAGCAAGAAATCAGGAGGGAGTTGCACAGGAAGGAAGAATGAGAAAAAAAGTATGAGAATAGAACTGGATGTTGTATGTAGTTAGATCAACAGTAAAATAGTGAAGCTTAATTGCCAATCTACTAGCATGCTTAAATTCCTGTGGTTGAATTTTAGAGCAGTTATCCTGAAAATATTTTTAGAAGAGACAGGGAAGCCATGTCACGTTGGTGAGAAAGTGACTGAAGTCAAGATGCCTGGTCAATTATATTACAGACCCTTTTAGAAGAGAATAGAATAAATTTCAGTTCTGAAAGAGAATGTTTTTTAAAGCTGTGAGTGAAAATAAACAGTAGCAAGATGACACACTTTACAAAATTAAAGCAAGATATCTACAGAATATATCTTTCAAAATCTGTTCAGGTTACGAGAGTAAAAAGAAACATTTCTTCTGAACACAGCAACATAGCATTTAAAAAAAAAGTATTACGGTTTAATTTGCGATACTGCAGTAAAATGAACAAATCTGATTTTATTATTAAATTCAGACAAACTTAGCTGATATCTAGTTCAACCAGTTTGTTAACTATTTATGCTAGCAGAAATTAAGATACATGGCACTCTTTATAAACTGATCTAAGATTCCCCAAATTAAAGGGTACAGTTCAAAAGTATGTAATTTTAGCTGAAAGGGACTATTGTAGGTTGACTGTGCAAAGGAAAACAAATATAAAAAGAAAAATATTTATATTGATTATTAATGTGAATGCATATCTTTAGAAACTGCTATTTACAAGATTTTTTATTTTTTCAAGAGAATTGGTTATACCAGAATGCACAAGAGGCGTATTAAAAAGACATTAAAAAAATTGCTTGCTGCAAAATGTCCAAGAGACATATTAAAGTTATACCAGTTTTAAAACAGGTCAGACATGAGAATCTTGCTAACTGAAAGGAGAAAATTAACGGTCTTGTCTCATGGCCAAAGTAGGTGCAAATTTCCCATTGGTACCTACTTAAAAATCTGAGTAAATGTTCTTATTGATTATTTAACAAAGTAATGAATGTCAAACATTTCTGTACAAGTAATTTTTGAAAGGTTTCTCTTCCTTTAATAGATTCTGCATATACCATATTTGATATGAAAAGGTATGATTTTATGGATATTATTATTTTAAGTAACAAGTAGTCATCTTTTCTTCTTTCAATATTGAGATGAATTATCTGTTTTTGTCACAAACATACAAAAATTACATATTTATTATAAGGATGAACAGGAATGAAGATTCTATATTATTACTACTAATAAAGTGCAAACTGAATTGAAGACAGCTTTATCCTTCAAGTTAGAGCATTTTAAGTTTTGCCTTAACAAAAATGTTACTATGATGTGCCACTTTTGCTGTTACACCCACAAACAAAAAAAAGAGATTGTTATAATTTAGATTATTGATAAATACAAACTTACAATTTTTTAAAAGTTAAATTTAATTTAGAGCAGATTAGACATTCATTGACCAAACAGCCAGTACTGATTTCAGTTGAAATTTATAAAATCTTTTTCTTAAAACAATTTTTTTAGGAAAACAGATTTCTCACATCCAGTCCTCAAGTCATGTGAACTCTGTTATTTGGTACAGTTTTTTGTAATTCTGTAGTGCCAGTCCACAATGTTCAAAGAACAAGAAGCAATAGTGAAATAATGTTAGCCTCAAAGACCAGGTGCTATTTTGTTTAGAAAACATACTGGCATGAGAGTTGTACACCAATGAGAAATTCCCTTGGACTCAGAAAGAGCTTACAGACCATTAACAAAGGCTATTGTAATTATTGTAGATTAACAATAATCTAGCCATTAACTGAAATTATATAAGCTTTAACTTCCTATTTATATTGTGATGCTATAAGATTTTGTGTGGCATTTTAAGCATAAAAATATATTTTCTAAGAAACACATTCTAATATATAAATTGCATTTTCTTTTCAATATTTACCTATAACATAAATATTCTAATATAGTGGGACCTACTCTAAGGCTAAGATGGGTGCAATTTTTTCTCTAGCTCCAATGATTAGTATTTGAACTCAGACGATCTATGGTTTTAAATACTGACTTTCAATTACTTTACAGGTATTACCTAAAACATAAGCTAGAACAGTGTTTCTCAACCTTTTTAAGAAAGGAATACCTAGGAGCGAGTGAAAATATCACGGCACACTTAGCAAAATTTTTAAAGCGTATACACTTAAATGTTATAAAATAAAACCATAGATTTTTAAAAAATACACACACAAATATGAACTTACTTTATTTCAATGTATCTATTCAACTATTAGTGCAGCTTATTTAATGTGAAACCTGTCAAATACTAACGCTGTATCATTATTGCTTCCACACACACACACATATGTATGTATGCCATGACAATATTGCGTGGCACAGCAGTTGAGAATCACTAAGCTAGAGCATAATAAAGTATTATTTTTAGCCCTTCTTTTTATTATTATTGCTTTTTATCACAACACTGTGTTGATAATCTTAAACGACTCATGCAAATAGCATGGAAATTAGAAAGAAAGAAGTACTTTCTGATGAGACATGAATTTGAATTCCATGCCCCAGGGGCTTTCTTTCAGAGATGTTGCTTCAACAACTTTAATCATGGCAATTTTAATAATTAAGCAAGTACAAATCTATCGTCATTCAACCACTCCTTCCTCTCTAATTCTGTATGTTTTTTTTAGTTTATGACTGAGTAATAAGAGAAAAGTTAATTTTTTGACATTTTTTTAGATTTTATTACTGATTTGATTCAATCTTATTTTTTTATTACAACACACTGGATCAATACTCTTCAACTGCTTGAGCAAAAACTCAAAATTGGATATAAAAACTAAGCTACTGACAAAACTTGAACTCAGATCACATAGGAATTATTTTTATTTAAATGTGCAAGTGAAAAAAAAAAAAAAAGTAAAGAGAGAAATAGGTCAAGTTACAACAGATGGGCAAAAGTATTAGTGCAAAACCTAGCAGCCAAAAGATAATTAGTGAGTCCAGGTAGGGTTCCATAAAGTTTAGATATACTAGGTCATTAAAGTACTTAAAAGGGAGTTGACATAAAACAGGTCCCCACTAATAATTCTTCCCAAAACAATTCAAGTGGACTCAGATCCCCAAATCTATATAATAGTTATTGCACATATTTTAATTATGATAAATATTTTGATAATTAAAAATTTAATTGCAAAATAAATATTTACTGTTGCCTTGTCAAAGTTGAAAGAAGTTATGTTTTTATTTTATTAAATTTTAGTGAAATATCTTTAAACTGATAAGGAGATTTGAATAAAGCTGAAACAAATCTATCATTATTATTCATTTTAAACTTGTTTCTTTAATTTTATTTCTGTTGCTTTTTATTACAGTTCTTAGATCATTAGTAAATAAAAACTGGAAACTATATGGTTAGATGTGACCTTCTTTAATGCGTGTTCTTTACATCTTAATTGGTAACTTTCGGACAAACAGGCTTCCTAAGGAAAGAGAGGTGCAATTTCAAACCTCACTAGAGGATTCTTTATTTCTGGTTAACACTGCTTAATATTGGAGAATGACAGTGGAATAATTGCAATAAAAAGTTATTGCTTGCCCTGTTTCCACTGAAATTTCACAATTACTCTATTATGTTGGTTTGTGAATTTGGTAACATAGTAATTGTGAGTTCAATCACTAATAGCCTAGTGGATTAAAAGTGTTGATTCGTAAATTTGGTGACATAGTAATTGTGAGTTTAGCCCCTGGGTCGGGCAGTGTGTACTATCAGTGGAAACAGGGCAAACAATAACTGAGCATTACTAAAAATAAGAACTAGACAAGATATCCATAGACATGGACAGTGGAATGAGAACAGTCTACCGCCATCCATTAAATAAAGGGTTCAGCTCAGAATTCCCTATAGGTTACCTGGATTGATATACACTTGATGAAGGATGGAGGGGCATAACAGCAAAGCTGTGATAACAACAAACATGAGGACAATAGTCCAAATATAAATAGTGTAAATAATGATAACTACTCATCCCAGAAATTCAGATAGAAAATAATAATAATAATAATATTATATATATATATATA